CAAAAAAAGCATGAAATATTTCGATATTTGAATCAATTATTGAAATATCATATTTCAAAAAAAAATCTACAAACCCCTTAAATTAGGTTATTATTTAAGTCCTTGATGAAATTACATGAGCTGCAACCTGGCGCATACGTTACAATAATGACCCATTGTAAACATTTTGACGGGGGCATATTTTTTAATCCCTCTACAAAATGACAAACAAGTTCTCTGCTGGGCCACTCCCCGGGCGAGTGTCTAAAAAGCAGACGAGATTAGCAAACATGACAATGCTCCGAAACCACTGAACCGATGTCAATGACACCTTCACCATTCGACGCCACGTGCTCTGAAACGACGCCCATATTGATGACATGGACGTGCATGGACGTAGCCAGGGGGGGGGGGGCAGTAACGGCGGAAGGTAATTTTGGATGGGTGGCAATGTTTTCTCAAGGGGCCCCTCTGGAAGTTTGCCCCCCCCCTTCATTTTCAGAGTGATATTGTATCGAGCCCCACGAGGTGGCGTTCGAAAGGTCTCTACGAGACCTTCCCAAAGCACTCTTAAGATTTTAAGATTGAGGTCAACTTTCGGGTCAAGATTAGTCAAAGGTCAAATTCTGGGGTTTTGCATGATTAGGCTTACGGACAGTGGAATCGATAGCTGCTGCTCGAAACTCACCAACAATGACCTCAAAGACCTAGTGAAGGTACCATGTGCGTACAGGGCGTATTTTAACATGTTAACTGGGTCGGCAATTGCCGACCCAGTCACGGAGAATGCCGACCCAGTGACAGCCGTTTGCCGACCCAGTTGCCGCCCCCTCTAGGATGCAGCACGCACATGCAGGCTAGGTGCCGTCATTCATAGTGAGGCTGCTGCCCTCCAAAATGATAATGCCGCCTCTTAAAGTGAACCAGCCGTCTATAGAAAGTGATCATCCCGCAACTCAATGTGACAGTGCCGCCCCTAAATCTGTTAGTAGCCTCACTCAATGTAATGGTGCCGCCCTTCTAAGCATCTGTGGAGCCCCTCAATGTGATGATACCGCCCCTCAAGAAGATGATGCCGCCCCTTTCAGTATCAGTGGCGCCCCTCAATGTGATGGTGCCGCCCTCAAAGTGCCGGTGGCGCCCCTGAATGTGATGGTGCTGCCCACCAACGAGTCGGTGGCGCCCCTCAAAATGATGCTGCCGCCCCTAATAGTGTCAGTGACGCCCTTCGAAGTGTCGGAGGAACCCACCAATATGATGGTGCCGCCCCTCTAGATATCCACATAGCCCCTCATTGTTCATTGAAAAATCGCTTAAAACTTGGTCTGAACTTTGTTGTGGTGCCTACAGAGTAAAAAGAATCAGCTTTATGACAGTAATGTGGCCTGGGGAAGGAGGTAATTTTGGGTTGTGACGTCACATATTTGAAAGTTTGTGTTTGGAATATGGGAAGCCTAAGATGTTTAATGAAAAATAAATGCCAGAACCGTGTTCCTGGTCATCCAATATATAAAGTCGGGCACAATTTAACTGGTATTAACAACATTTTAGAAGGTGGGATAGTCCCTTTAACCGGCGCCGGGCTGAGGTTGTTTGAACCCCCCTCCCGACCCCTATAACTTGGCTACTTGGGCCACGTAGCGACACGCGGTAAGCGGCATTCGAAGAAGTGTCAAAACTACTTGGGTTAGTTGGTTAACCGTACTTTGGTTAGGTCAAGTCAAATGTCAAATATCAGGTGACCAGAGGTCATCAAAGGTGAAATGTGGGTGAAATGTTGTCTGTTTCAACATTTATTGACAAACTGGCGCATAACTCGGGGAAGAATAGAACTACAGCACCGCGAAAAAGCGCATTCGATAGCTCTTCAACGTTCCTATAAAGTCCTCAGACTTGACCTAACATCAACGACTTAACCTCCAGAGCATAACTTGTTTAACCCGTGTCGGGCCGGGGAGGGTTAAAGGGGACAGTGGACCCCCTCCGCCTCTCTACTGAGCTGTTTTAATGAAGAACCTTTTTACTTTAATAATTATTGACTCACGAAAGTTATGACATCGTTTTTTTTTTCAGTACTGCGCTTCTCTCGTCGAGATGCGTCGAATGAACTATAATTTGACATTCAAATGTCATTTGGGAAATTTGAGCTCAGGTCCAGGTCATGACCTGACAGGTAAAGGTCATGTTGCATATCAGTCGATTTGTATCGTCAAACTGAAATCATCTAAGGTGTTTTCATCGCTCAGGCATATCGCATGTCTCTATCAGAAGTTATTGAAAAAAAAACTGCTGGAGGCCTACCAATCCATGACCTGACATGACCTCAAGGACATAACGAGGGGTCGTGGGTGGCATTTTTCCGATTAAGTGTGTCATTTTTAATTGTTTTCTGATGTTTAAATTCGTTAACTTTGACATTTGTCTACCTATAAAAAGAGGCACATGCCCCGACTTTCTCCCATTTCCTTATACCTAATGGAAGGGTCGCAAAATTGTCCTTACCTTTGGTCAAAGACATCGCAATTTCGAGACTTACATTTTATGTACTTACAGTGACACACTGTTTGTCTTATCAATCGCTGAAGTTATAAAGGGATCGTTCAGTCGGTATATCTATGGTGAGCATTTGCCTGTTCCGTAGCTCAGTTGGTAGAGCACCGGACTCCCCGCATTGTCTCCGCTTGCGTTTTGTCCGCCGGCCGAGCCGGAGAGAAAGTTACCGAGTGAAGTTCATTCAAATTTCAAAAACTCAATGACAATGTCACTGGGGTCACCAAAATGTTTGAGTAGGTAGGTATAACATTCATTAACTGGGGGGGGGGGGGGATGAACTTATCTGTGCAATACGCTGTTCATTACGCGAGTAACACTAATAAATAAAAAATGTATGAGTTCATCCTTACTCCACCCGCTCTCCCTCTCCATAAAAAGAGAGTTTAAATGTGTTGAATTTTATTTATACCTATGCAGAAAAATAGAGACGTCTAAGGATATGGCCGAATATCAGCGACTTGCTGTGTAAGCAATGAGGTATGACAAGTGGGGGTAATGGCCCCGTCCAGCGCCCATAAAGTGGGCACCACTCGTGCGACCTGCCGATCACTGTTCTAGATAGAGCCATAAAACGCGTGAATGTTTTAAGCTTGACGATACGGATCGACTGGTATGCAACATGTTCTATTTCTGGTGAGGTCATGAACTTGACCTCAAGTAAAATTTTAAAATTATTTTTGTTTTGTAAAATCAAATTATATTTCATTTATCGCATTATGATGAGAGAAAAACTATATCCCGGAAATACCGCTGAGCTTAGGTTGAATCTGAAATCATTACTTAGAAAGAGTTATAAAAGAACCGTCGAACGTGTCTTTTTTGGTCATTAAATATCAGTAGGTATGCCGCCCCCTCAGATGCCAAGTGCCGCCCCTATGAGTGCAAAATGCCGCCCCTAATTGTGATTGCCGACCCAGTGAAAATCCCTTAAAATACGCCCTGTGTGCGTATAGAGGTCATACTAAGTACGGGTCAAGGTCAGGTCAGGTCACGAAAGGTCACGGTTTTCACTTTCTGCTACATGGGCGTGCGACACATGTTTTATGGCTTATTTTTCACGCCGAATCCGATGGTAATAGTTATATGTGACCCCAAGTCACTGTGCTGGTGAAAAGTGTGCATTGAAAGCATACAAATCGTTTATACCATACATAACTAAACGAGGGCTAAGAAAAAAGTAAATTTTACAACTTTTTATTTTTGACATAAAAATGTTTTTTTTCTAGACGAGCTTTGCCCCAGGAATCTAGTGGTGCCATTTGTTTTCACATGCGATGTTCAGAAGTGCCTCTAATTCCCGAAAATACTTATGACGTCACCATCCCTACCATGTTGCAGCTATTTTTTTTTTACAATTTGGGGTAAAAAATCAAGATAGAAAGTTGAAATTTGGGACATCTAATGTTCTAATAGAGCTCTATAACATATATTCCGTTTTTTGGAAATTCTCAAAATTTTTGATTTTATAAGCTGTTTTCCAAAAAATAAAGTTTTTGGAACTTTTAGGGGTAAAAAACGCATTCCATGGAAAATCCGAGATAGCTATTTTAAAGAACTCGTTGAGCTGTTTCTATTCATGTCCCTAATTTGCAATTTGAATAAAACCTTGATTTTTGGCTATTTTTAAATATTTACCACCTTTTGACTGGAAACGCCATGTAGTTACATCGCTAAAATCGATATATCTAAAAAAAAGGTTTTAGAAAAAAATCTTAAAAATTACACAGGAGACGTCAAATTGATGGAGAATGTATGCCAACTTTCAGGTTGATAATGTAAGCGGTTCATGAGTTATTCAAGAAAAACGGGGTGTCGGATCCGACCCCCCCCCCCCCAGGCGGTCGCGGGTTAAAGGGACACTCCCACCTTCAAAAAAGTTTATGAATTGGCATGAAAGTGATGTCGCTCGGTTCAGAAAGAGCGAAAACGAATATCTACCAAATTTCATCGAAAAATATTCACCGGTTTTCCAGATACTAGACTTTTACTTTTGTTTACTTTTTGGGATCTCCTCTGTTCCTAGCGACTTTATTTAAAAGTGCGGCATTTGTTGCGCGCAACGCAGCATATACCACCGCGTGCTACAAAACGTTTAGTCAAACATTTAAAAATCGTTAGATATCTGCGCTGACGTCACACATTCAGAGGGGTATTCCTATGCATTAGCCCCTCTGAATCAAAATGCTGCAATTTTGAAATTCAATATTTCCGATTTAAGGCATTTCTCGATCTTGTGAGTGCCGAAACCGGTAATTGTGAGCCAGGGACCCCATTCTGGCTATCTCAACTCAAATCTAATGTTAAGGTGGGAGGGTCCCTCTCCCTTTAATAAGCGTGAATGCAAGGAGGGACCCTCGGAAATCAGCCCGGGCATCGCCTGACTGCCGGCCGGCCGGCCGATCCCGGCTGCTAGAAGCGGAGGCTAGTCACGGGTTGGCCCGGATGTGTATGAGCAGGGCAGCACCCCATTTTCACGCCAATTCGCGTATTTATTTAGGCACATCGGCATGAAAAGTCATTACAATGATACGTGGCGAGATCACAGACCAGAGATTGAAAGTTTTTTCTTCTCACTTGTATTCCACAAACTACAAAGACACAATTTTCAGGCGGCATGCTCACTTTCCTAGTAACAGTCGTAACAGATATTCAGGAAGACCGTACCAGGGCATACGGCGGCCCCGATCACCAACCTTTCGCTGTCCCGGCGGCGAGCGAGGGACCCACGGCGACTGCGCACCTTACCGACAAAGCAGCACTGGCACAACGAAGAAGCCCTCAAAGGGCCCGAAGATCCAAGGGCCCTTTGAGGCCTTCTGAGAGCCATTTAATGCCAGGCGAGAGCCCTTTGAGGTCCTCCGAGGGCCGTTTGACGTCAGCTGAGGGTGCTTTGGCCCTAGCTGATGGCCCTTTGAGGCCTTCTGACCGCTATTTGACGCCAGCTGAGGGCCATTTGATGTCAGCTGAGGGTCCTCTGACACCTGCTGGGGGCCCTCTGACAGCAACTAAGAGTCCTTTGAGGCCTTCGAAGGGCCGTTTGACGTCAAAGAGCCCCTTGCGGCCTGCTGAACACGGTGTTTACGAACGAGCTGAGTCTGTTTGTGCCGGACGGAGTCCGAGTGGTGCAGTTTGCGGACGATACACAACTGCTCGTCAGCGGCCAGAAAAGCGACCTGCCGCGCATAACCGCTCTCATGGAACGCGCACTCGAGTGTCTATACACGTGGTTTTGCTCTCACGGCATGAAGCTGAACGCAGCCAAAACGCAGGCACTGGTAATGGGGACCCCTGGAATGCTGAGGGGCTTACCGCCGGTCGCGATGAACTTCTTGGGTACCGTCGTGCCAGATTCCAGGGTGGTACGAAACTTAGGAGTGATCATGGGCTGCCATTTAAATTTCCAGCCACATGTCGACCATGTTACAGCGAAGTGTACGGGCATTCTCGTAGGTTTAATGCACGCCAAACACACCATACCAAAAAGTACTCTTGTAACCATCGTGCAAGGCCTTGTCACGTCTGTTGTCAGATATTGCATCTCAGTGTACGGCACGTGTAACGCGACGCAGCTATATAGATAGAGTGCAAAAGCTGTTGAACTTTGGAGCTCGAGTCGTCAGCGGCAGGCGGAAACATGACCACATATCTGATGTGTTTCGACAACTTAACTGGCTAGACGCGCCAAGCCTTGTCATGTACCACCGGCTGTGCCTGGTTCACACTGTGATAACCACGGGGAGACCTGAGAGCGTAGCTGGTTGCATCGGTGGAGTCGCTGAGCACCAATACCAGACACGAGGCTCCTCGCAGCGCGCCCTAACGAGAATACGGACGGAGCTGGGTCGCCGCCGTCTGTGCTACAGTGGCGTGCAGGAGTACAACCGGCTGCCATTTGACGCGAACGCTCGGGGCTTCAGGTCCCGGCTGAGACGCCATCTGTTGCGCGTCCAGCACGGCGGTGTTCGAGCGCCGTGATCTGCGCGTTGTGCAATAGTCATTTGGACGTGACGATATGTGATTGTAGATACATGTACTGTACTGGTACTGTAGCGCCTACCTACCTGTACATACGTTTTAATAATATGACGTGTGACGATGAAAAACCATGATTTAATGGATTTGTTACGAAATATATTCTGATTCTGATTCTGATTCTGCTGAGGGCTATTTGATACGACAATCACGCAGCATCACGCAGCATCACGCAAGCATCGATCGGCCCAGATGGGCCCAGTAGTCCCTGAGTTATGGAATGGCTGCCATAGGCGACAACGGTCATGTGACCTTCCAAGGTCACCGAGGTCACCTGAGATCACCATTTTCGAAACTGCTGATGAAATCGCATACGCTGAGTCGACTGGTGGCGTTTTCGTCTCGATCGGCCCAGTAGTTCCTGAGTTATAGAATGGCTGCAATAGGCGCATCAATAGCCGTTTTCACGACGGCCATCTGGTACACATTTGGTGCAGATTAGGTGCAGATTTGGTCAAATTAGGTTCAGTGTATCTCTTAGTAGCTATCAGCTAGGGTTGCGCTAATCGCTTATACCTATGCCTGCTTTGTCATATTATCAGAGAGTATCATCGATTAAAACACTTAAATAAATTCATAAAATGAAGATATTTGCTGCACCAGAGATTACATGCAGATTTGGTCAAATATGGTGCACTCGCCGGATAGCCCGTCGTGAAAACGGCTAATGCCAAGTTGACCTTTTGAGGTTACCCAGGTCACTTGAGGTCATCATCATCGAAACGGCTGATAAAATCGTATCCCCTAATTCGAATGGTGTTTCGCTCATCCCGATCGGTCCAGTGGGTTCCTGAGTTATAGAATGCTGCAAGGGTGGTGGTCGAATAGTGTTGTCCCTATTTGGCAAAGTTGTGGACTGGTGCGTTTTGCGGCATAAATGGTGCACTGTTACAATTGTGGCGCATTGCGGCAAGGGCAGTCCTTTGTATGTGTTGCTTAAGCATGCATCCGTCCCCAAAATTGAATCCAAATCGGATCATGTTTGACAAAGTTACAAACATTTTGCGATTTCGGGCGATTATGGCGCATAATGACAAATGTGGCGCGGTGCATCAAACGCGGCGCAGTTGTCATTGACGCTTAACAATGCAGCCACCCACCAAATTTGAACCCAATCGGACCATATTTGAGAAAGTTATGGACATTTGAATATTTCACGATAAAATATCTCCGCAAAGGAGGAGCCCAGCTGAACACGTGTGCCACGTGACCACTGGTGATGAAAGCAGGACCTTTCCCCTCATCGACTGACCCAATTTAGTGTTCTTGGCTGGTTCTGTTTCCACGCTATACGGCCACCAGTTGGCCAAAACACCATTATGTGGGAGGTACTCGGCTCAAACACGTGGCCACGTGGCACGTGCCGGACCTTTGACAGCTTAACGGCTTACGCCACGTCATGACCAATATTGTTGGCCATCGGCATGTAAAAGATGACCCCGGCCGGTGTCACCGTCTCTGAACAGTGGACGGCTAAACTTGAAAAACGGGAAAATTGAGGGAAATTTTATCTTTCGAATATATAATTTCCCCAGAATTTTAAATTTTTCATTTTACAAAAAATCCGAGATAGCAGTTTTTTAGACCCCTTCATTTTGTGTCTATACCCGTTTTCAGATCGACCCTATCATAAAAACTGACGGCCTGACGGCCATTTCCCCCATTCCTTGCATTTAACAATGTTGGTGTATTTAAGCACAAAAATTGACCTCGTGCCACGGCACGTGCAATAGCACGTGCGCCACGTGACCACTGGTGCGACAAGCTGGACCCATCTGCTGACCGGCTGCACTTATTTAGTGTCACTAGGTGGAGTGGTTTTTTGAGCCATAGGACCCCAAGTTGGTCAATGTCGGATTTTCCACGAGGTTCCCCCATCAAACACGTTTGCACGTGGCACGTGCTTTTCAATCGCCCCATATCTGACCCATACCATGTGGTAGCCGACACCCCGGGGCACAACATATTGGAGCATTTTCAAAATCTAACGTGGAAATTTTTTGCCAAATCGATTTCAAAATAATTTTTCGAAATCGCCATAGGTTCAACATGGGGTAACTGTCTGTGCCAATTACCCGAAAGTTCTCTAATTATATTTTAAACGGTTACCACCGACGGGTGGGGTGCCAGCCCGAGAGCCGACCCTAAAAATGTGGACAAATATTACTGAACAGATTTTCCGTAAATCGCATTTTTAATTTTACCCCATGTTAACCCTATGGGAAAATGCACGTGCCGATTACCCCAAAACGTGTCAATTATATTTCTTCTAACTTTGCCAGCCGGTAGCTCCCCCATACGGGACCAAACGCTGAAAATGGCAAAAAAATCTAACTAGCCGTTTTTGCGGGGATCAAAATGACCAAAATCGCGGCCGAAACGCTAAACACCCCCCTAGAGAGGTAGCTCAGGTTGGGATTTTCAATAGAAAATCACAATTCTAAAGAATAGTGATTGTTCTTAATTGAAAAGTCCCAACCTTCGGATACGTATCGCACGACAATGACTCCGACATGACCCTGGATCACAGATGACCTGCCGACAGTCGACATAAGCTGAATTCGGGTCATGACCTCTGAGACAGCTCTGACCTCCGCTCATCAACCCTGACATGAAATGGCATCTGGACCTCTGACATCTGACCGTCCATTGCACTGACCTCTCCCCAGCACGAGGCTGAGATTCTTTCCCTCGCACCGCTAAGAGCACGCCTATGAACAGAAAACGGACTGTTTTCATACAGCCAGACCAACTCGGTCGAGGCGCAAAGACATGGCAAAGACACAGCGCTGTCGGAAGAGAAGACATCGGGAAATTATCCTGAGCGAAAATCCCTCCACTAAAAAGCACTATGAGCTGAAGAAGTCTTAGATCTTTAATTCGACACCATGTGAATTGCGTACCCTCCACGAGCTGCGGCGCCCTCCCCCGTCCCGTACCCGCTGGCCCGCCCTGGCGCCAGCTCAGTGCACACCGTTCTCCACAGCCCGGTCGCCGTTGAGCTGTGTGGGCGGCGATCCGGCCAGCTCGGTCTCCGACCGTCGCTCTCTGTGTGACTCGGACCCGGAGCTGGCTCGGGAGGCCGGTCTCGAGCTGCGCCGAGAGCCGGGCTGGGAGTCGGGTCGCGCCTCCTGCTGAGGGGATATCGCCTCTGCGGAGGTGGGCAGCGAGCGCAGAGACTCGGCCGTCTTCCTGCTCAGCTGGCGGCTCAGCTGGCCCGCGAACCGCTTACTCAGGAAGGAGGAGAGTCCGCTGGAGCCTTCGGCCGAGTCGGCGGAGTCCTCCGGCGAGTCGCGTCGCGGCAGCTGCGGCGAGCCGCGAGGCACCTCCAGCAGGCGCTCCAGGTCGAAATTGGCCGCCATCCGAGCGTAGGCGGCCGGTGTGAAACCCAGCATGTCCTTGGCGGTGACGGAGACGCCGTATGACAACAGCATTCGGCAGATGTCGGAGTGACCCAGCAGCGCTGCCTGGTGGATATACAGACAAGCGTTAGTTACTGAGGTACCTTGGACAGATGCCTGCGTGGTTACGATTCGTGATAGCCAGCGTTCATTGCTGGGAGTTCGGGGAGCAGTTCCAGACAGTGCTAACAAAATTCATGTCAGGGTGGTAATACAGCATTATTAGTTCGACCAAATGTTCGAACTGTTATGCTTATTTTACCAGCCCACGGAGAATCAGCGCTCACAGCGCCATCTACCCGCCCCGCACCAGCATTTGAGATGCAGTTTGTACCCCATTCTCTTACCACATGCAGGGCGGTTCGTCCTGTGCTGTCCGGCTGGCCCAGGTCGGCCTGGGCCAGGTGGTAGGCCTCCAGACCGGATAGCTTTCCGGCGGCCGCTGCGCTACACAGGTGCTCCCCTGAGGTCAGAGGTCACAGGTTAGAGGTCTCGCTGAGGTGTCTAGTTCCATCCGCTCCTAACATCTGCTCTCGGTTCCAGCACCAATGTGCGATGTGAGAGCGATGAGCAACAGCAGAGCGATGTGAGCAGGCACACGTGCAGTCAGACGATATAGCTGGTAAGTCGATGCGGCTGAACGATATGTCAGACGACCTGACTGATGAAGTCAGACGGGTCTTCACCAGGCCCAGGCGGCATGAGCGAAGAAACCCGTCTTGTACGGGTTTACGTGGAAAATCAATGGAGAAACAAAACCCCACAGCTTTGTTCCGCCCGAATCAGAGCCCATGGCCCAATGGGGGAGGGCCACCTCTTCTAATGTGCATAACTGACTGCTACGAGAGCCAGGAAGGTCAGTTTGAGCAAAGCAATAAATCGCTTTGTCTGATCAAATGTTCAAAAGTGCATTGTGAATTGACTAGCTCCTACCGTGCTGAACAATGGCCTCTTCATGTTTAATCAGATCAGTGTCGATGAGATGAGATAATCAATTTACAACATACGATCATGCATTGCTCAATGCACAGTCAATAGTCATGCATGTCCGTAAAGTTAGCGTCAGCAACAACGAAAATCATCGGATGTCATGCATGGGAAACAAGGCTGCTCCCTTTCTCATTGAGCGACCACCTCTCCCCGTCACCTCTCATTTCCCTTTTATCTTATGCCCCGTCCGGGAGCTCTCAGTCATCCCCTCTTCCAGTCCTGTCCCTGTCCCACCGACCCCCTCTCCCTACTTGCTGAGCTGGGCTGCATGTCCCTCCCCCCCTCCCTAGTGCCCCATCCTTACCGAGCTGTGCCGGTGCCATGATAAGGTGCGCGCCGCCGTCCACCAGACACCGAATACAGTCCAGCCGCTGGAACTGGACGGCGCAGTGAAGCGGCGTGGCCCCGGCGCGGTCCCGCACGTGAACGCTGGCGCCGCAGTGCAGCAGGTGACGTACCATCTCCAGATTCCCCTCGCTGGCCGCCACGTGAAGCGGCGTGCGGCGGTCGTAGTCGGTGCCGGATACGTCGGCGCCCTGTCGGACAGAACGTCGAGCATCTCAGCGGGGGTTGGGGCTTCTCAGGGAATGGAAAGGAAAAATCCACCAAAGGAGAGTTGAGTTTGGGGCGGGTGCCAGCACCAAGAGGACGCAGCACATATGTGGGGGACTATATGCTAGCTGAGAGGCTGCTATTGAGCTGTTAGTTTTGAGCGGCAGCAGCCGCTCAAATACAGAGGTCTATGGCGGCAGGAATGGTGAAGCGTTTGTAGTACAAGTCTCTAACGGTGAAATACTTCACTATCCTCGTCAGTCGTCCCGTCTCGATTATCTTTCGACTAGTGTCCCTTTCCCACGCACCCCCCTCCCCCCTCCGTATCCGAAGGCCCGGTTGATATCTGCTCCCCGGTCTCAATTTCTCTCCCTCCGGTCAGTGCCCCCTTCCCCTCCGTCACTCACGAATGCCCGGATGGTGTCCACTCGTTGAATGTCACCCGTCTCTGCAGCGGTGCACAACATGGCCGGGTAGAGCGTCTCCCTGAGCCGCTCCAGCTCGGAGCCGGAGGTCATCTGCAGTTTCTGGGCCACGGCGGCGGCCAGGTCCTGGTCCTGCAGCTCCACCTCCGCGTCCGCAGACAGTTCGCCGCGCAGGTTCTGGGTCACCATCTGCAACGGCGGGGTCAGAGGTCAGGGAGGTCAGGTCAGAGGTCAGGGAGGTCACCGTCCGCAGACAGTTCGCCGCGCAGGTTTTGGGTCACCATCTGCAACGGCGGGGCGTGGGCAGAGGTCAAAGAGGTCAGAGAGGTCACCGTCCACAGACAGCTCGCCATGGTTCTGGGTCACCATATGCAGCGGCGGGGTCAGAGGTCAGAGAGGTCAGGGAGGTCAGGGAGGTCAGAGGTCAAAGAGGTCGGAGAGGCCAGCGTCAGCACACATAGAGGCAGTGAGGGCTACCAAAGAGGTCAGCCAGCACGGACAAAGCTTATGAGCCGAGACACTCCTTTGTGAGTCCTAAGTGACGTGTTTCAGTGATACGCTTTTAATCGCAGCATCCCATATCCTGGCAACCATCTTTTTTATTTCTCCGAATTCAAGCTTTCAGAAGAACAAATTTTATCCACCAGACCTGGCGCCACTAAATTACTTCCGTCTGCCGGCAGTCACAAAACCCAGCCATTAACAGCGCTCCTCCCTTTCCGTCGTTTTACGGCCAATGAACTTTTTCCCTGTCGTTTTACAGCCGGTCGCGATTTCTGACCTTCCGCTTGGTCTCGTGGTCCCAGCTGTCCTTGGTGAGCACGTAGGCCAGCTTGGTGAGCGCCGCCTCTGGGGTCATGTCCGCTCCGGGCAGCACGCCGGCGTCCTGCAGCGACTTGCCCGTCTCATACACGGTGCTCACCGAACCCTGAGGGCGCACGGACAGGTTGGGAGAGTCAGACTCGGGCGCGTAATCGGGATGGGCATGTCAGGGGAGGGGGATTCGACAGCTTCCTCGAAACAATTCGGACGAAGTCTTTCGGCCCTTTGGCCTAGCTTATGCATAGGGATGCAAATCAACAATTAGGTCTCATTATGCTCCTGGTATTGTTGACACAGCAGACGCAAAGGGCCACAATGGACGAACGCAGAGGGCTGCAATGAGCGGACGCAGTGGACTGCACCTGGCTGCACTGGGTGCAATTGACGATGATGATGCCGCGCTGTGTGGCCTCCCGCAGCGCCTCCAGTAGGTCCTTCCGATTGGACGGCACATTACCTGCGCCGTACGACTGCAGCACGACGCCCTGAATGGGCTCTTGCAGGAACGCCTTCACCTGGTGGCGGAGATCAGGAGTCAGGAGCAGGACTTCCAACAATCAGCTTGCCTTTGCATCTTGTGTTTGTTATAATTGGCCTAACTAAAAAAAGGTGCAATCATCGCACAGGAGCAGTTGCAGCTACAATTCACAGCGTCTGAAATCCAGGTCCGAGAGAGATGGTATGCCTAGAAACAGGGACGCTACGAACGTCACATATACATATTTTTAGCCCTTTGGTAATTTATTTTCGTTTCTCGGGTAGAACGTTTGATACAGCAGTCTGGTCTCTATCTCCTACTGAACATTTCAATATCTCCTCTCGTATCCTCCCCTCATAAACCAGGTTAGACGTCATTCCCACCGGCGACTGGCCGCGTCTGGCCGAGAACTAACTGACCGTTTCGGTGGTGATGGAGGGGAACACTCGTAGAATGCCGACGTTCCGGCACAGGCGGCTGTGTACCTCAAACTTGGCTATGGTCGTCGGACGGAACAGCGACTTGTAGTCGACTGTAAAACGGGACGCGGAATAATTAAGGATTCAGAAAACAGACAACTTTGCAGGTAACCCACAACTTGAGGATACATTACGTGTGTCGCTAAATACGCCAATGACAAAGTTCAACAACTAACCAGCAGTGAAAGCAACCACTTTCAATCTACGAGTATTTTCCTATTTTCATAATGCTTAAATGCTCCCAGAAGTCGATGATTCGTATAAAAAACGCATTAGCGTAATGAAACAAGAGCATCATCATTTCATGCATCATTTTCTCCCCAGGGCAAGGGACGAGCAGAACGTCATTTCATTGGCCGTTTATGGAGTTTTAATCCTTGCATACATCGTTGAGGTCATTACGATTATTTTTCCGAGATCATTTACTGTCGACGGAGACTGCGAATCACCCAGTCGCACGTCGGCGTCCGTACCTTCGATGTCGATGCCGACCGAGGCCAGTGGGGCCAGGTTGGGCGAGCCGAAGGCGTTCAGCTTGTCCGTGCTCAGCTTGGTGGTGCGGTTGCCCCTGAAGAGCTCGTGGTTGAAGAAGACGCTCACCTCGGGGATGGTGAACTGGCCGGCCAGGAGCAGCGATACCAGGAAATTGTCGCGGCCGTCGCTGCGCGTCTCGAATATCGGAATCTGAGGAACGGCCGACGGAGCTGTCTGTCAGGCCTCGGGAGGGTCAGATTAGACCGTGACAACTTCGAGTAAATTTGGAGAGAGCTGCGACACCCATCTTTTGATACCCAACTCAATAGCACTGACCATAGCACTGACCATAATCATGAATAAACGACAAACAATTAGCCTAAGTCTTAACAATTTTTTGCTAGTTTACTGTTAACTACCTGTGAGCCGGGCCTCGCCTATGGCCGGCTGTGAGCTGTGGCCCTGGGTCGCCTGTGGGCCGGCCGCGGCTGTGAGCCAGGCCTCACCTGTGAGCCGGTGACGATCACCGTCTTCCCGAGGTTCTCCAGCATGAAGGAGAGGGCCGAGGCCGTGTAAGCCATGGTGTCTGTGCCGTGCAGAATGACGAAGCCGTCGAACCAGTGGTACGCTTGCTGAAACGCGCAAATAGGGGCGATATGGTCAGACGGAGGTATATCGGGGCTGGTGTGCCGCAGCGTAACAAACGTTTTAGTGCTGAGAATGAGTGAGCTCTTGGACGAATAGGGCTAGCATACGAGATGGAAGTTAACTGGTGGTAGGGTAGGCATTCGATGATTTAACCGACAGCGACTGGCAACCGTGAATTCTATACCTAGGCGTATGCTGAAAGGTAATTGTTGCCTTGAAAAACCCCTGCTATCGTGAGGATAAGCTATATTACCCCAAGAAACAACACTGTCACAGGGAGCCTGTGCGGTATGTCTCACTCGTATGTCGGTATGTCGCGTTACCTTGATGTCCTTGGCGATGCGGATCCAGTCGTCCATGGTCATGTTGCTCGAGTCCAGCAGTGGGTCGTACTCATAGACCGTGTAGATGACGCGGGTGGTCGACGTGCTCGACAGCCTGACCAAGAGAGACGTTCAGTCACACAGACAGTCCCGGGAGAGCTAATCAGACGTATCCACACTTCACAGTCTTATATAAGTGAGAAATACTACGCCAAAAGCGCATCTGCGGACCTTGAGTCTTCATCGCAGACACAGACTAGCAAGCTCAGGAGTCCAGGGAATCCGCTTCGTTTTGATGAAATTATAATTGCGTAACCAGCTTATCGATGGTGCTCCGCACCTGTAGAGCTACGCCTGGTGATCGGGAAATGCACAGTGTTTGTACATAGGGAAATGTATCGACCTTCCTACCAGTAATAAGGTATTTCTGTTGAATTTGTAAGATTAACAAAACCTGAAACGAGCTGCCAGCAAATACGAAGAAAAAATCCTATTGGTGCCAAAACGTTAAACGAATTATTAATATCATCATAACGGCTTCGGTGCCAAGGAATTATTTCCTTCCATAACTTTTAATATGTTATAAAACTTATATACATAATATGCCCATAAAGATCAAAGTCACGTGTCGTTTTGTGAGCCGCAAATCGACAGATTAAACAGCTTTTTCGCACACTTGTTTTGCGAGCACAGGCGCGTGTGGCCGACAAATGTGACTCCGATCGCCATTTGTTTCGCTTGACGACAAGTGGGCTAGCTCCATATGAGACCTTGAACTAGCGAAGTGCTCTTGACCCCCCAAGTCATGTGCTTTACTTGTTTTCGCAGAGGCTTTTCGTCGCTATTACCGTCTCCGAACCAAACCATCGAGTCGGGAGAACGGTACGGTTGTGCGTTGAAATGTTAGCCGTTTTCACGACGGGCTATCTGGTGAATGCAACCAATTTGACCAAATCTGCGTCGAATCTCCTTTACAATAAATATATTCATTTCATGAATTTATTAGTTATTACAGTGTTTTAATCTTAGATAAGGTCTGATAATTTGAAAAATGAGGTCTATAAGCATCCGTGCAGCCCAAATTGACAGCTTTTATAAAACACAATGAACCTAATTTGACCAAAACTGCACAAAAACTGTACCTAATTTGCACCAAATGTGTACCAGATGGCCGTCGTGAAAACGGCTATTTGTGGTTAAATAAAAAGTACGTTATCATAGCAGTACTGTGCCACGTAAGTATGACAAAAACATCCGATAATAATGTTGACATTGGAGTTCGTGTCGACCCATTCATTCAATACAGACTCCGCCCTGCCCCTGACAAAAACTGACGACACCGACACTCAGTCATCACAAGTCAGCACAGCAGTGTTGAGTCGTTGACTGACTGGCCACTGTGCCGAGACTGTGGACGTGGTCCCCAGAGCGTCTGGGTCGGGGCGATGGGGCGGGTAGGGACCATGTCGCCCTGCACAGCGTACCGGTGGGCGGTGACAGTGTTGAGGTTTGACTGCAGTGCCATCATGTAAACATGCGCCAGCAGACGGACAGTCGCAGGCCAAAATCGTCTGTCACTTGACGCTTGCAAAGTTGACATTTTTCACCTTGCCCGTCCGGGGAGATCGGGCAGACTGCATTCGAAGGGACTTACAAAGCGCACGTTTTGGTATATAGGTACACATTAACGTCATTGTTGTCAAATAGGCCCTACCCGAAGGCCGAAGTTGTTGCATTATCCTTCCAGGCGGTGGGTGTGGGGGGGGGGGATTTCGGAGATACGAGGGGGCAAAAGATGCCCGGAAGGTGGCCGGGAGGCCCACCACCTGCCGGGTTACCTAGAGGTATACTTAAATATTTTATATAATTATATGCAGGTACGCCTATAATAATTGGAATAATACCTACTCATCATGTAAGCGTATAGGGCGCACGACCTTGTGCACAAGATGCATCGGCAATCGCATACCTTTGCAGATTCTTGCAAGTCACAGGTAACAGTGATGAGCCGTCTAAAAATCAGTTTGCTTACACTGTTTCTTATTTCTCATCATCTCACAATATGGCATGACACCTGGCGGGCAGCTATTCTCGGCAGGAGCTCAAGGGCACGACGTCACCCCAGAACTCCGTCGCACCCTGAACGGACATTTGTCCGCCAGCAGAGTGACGTCACTGAAAGGACCGTTGGCTGACACAGCTCAGCCAATCAGCTTCCGGCTCGCCGGGGGCGTCACCAATGGCAGCGCTCCGCCGAGGGGCTCGTCCCTTCCCGTTCTGGCCCGCGCCGTGCCCCCCTTTCTGACGGGCTTACGCAATGTTGGCGTGCCAGAAGGAAATCTGAGCCGCTGTCACACCACGCCGTGGCTGGCAGAGCGGTGATGCCGTGAGGGGCCGGATATCGAGGGGGTCGGGGACGCCCTGCCGGTCACTGTTCATTGAATCCCGGCTCTGAAGTCCAAACCATGTCGTACGCGCGTCGCTGCTCTGAGGAGGCACGGACCACGTGGCGTGGCGGGGAACGTGGCACGTGCCACGTGGCGCCGAAGACGGTCCCTGTTAGGCATGGCCTGGCACACAGCCAGCAGTCACCCAGCCCGTCCGTTCCGTCGCGTCGGTGGGCCGGTGTAGTTGGATCGGACGCGACGTGAGCCGCCGAGAGGGCGGGTCGCCGCCGCCGCACCCGACCAGCCTCACAGCCCGGCCCTGGCTCACTAACGTAGGCCCGATCAATGAACTGCGTTCGATGGGAAACTTCGTAGGACGGCCAGGCTATGTGAGAACTAATAAGAGACGTGTTCTCGTGGCTATAGGTATATGGCGATAGATGTATGCAAACTGCGGTGATTTCGATAAATGATTTAGGCACACCGCACATTTTGAAAGAAACCTACATTATTCCATCCTTATCTGATGAAGGATAGGTATTTCACATTTTTACATATTTTATTTTGATTTCACGCTAGGCGCCGTTACCTTTACCTTATGTGCCAAAAATGGAAAATTTAACAGTCATACCGCGCAGGCGGATCCAAGGTATGCGGGTGCTCGGCAGCACTGTCAATTCCGAGACGTCATATTGTGTTGTAGGTTAAAGGGACTATCCCACCTTCTAAAATGTTGTTAAAACCAGTTAAATTGTGCCCGACTTTATAGATTGGATGACCAGGAACACGGTTCTGGCATTTATTTTTCATTAAACATCTTAGGCTTCCCATATTCCAAACACAAACTTTCAAATATGTGACGTCACAGCCCAAAATTACCTCCTTCCCCAGGCCACAATACTGTGATAAAGGTGATTCTTTTTACTCTGTAGGCACCACAACAAAGTTCAGACCAAATTTTAAGCGATTTTTCAACGAACAAACCCATTTAAATCAGAATGACTAAACGAGGTGACGTCACACTAACGGTCGCTCCATGTTGAAGATAGGGCCTTGTACAAGGCCCATTTTCAAATGAAGGGAACGAATTTCTTTAACACCAAGAGGCCGCGGGGATTGCAACCTAGATAGATAGTGGTTTCTGAACCTCGCCGCAAACTTGGCTATCTCAACTCAAACCCCATGTTAAAGGTGGGATAGTCCCTTTAAGTGGTCGACATTTGGCATGGTCACAAGAATTACCTAACAATGCTGCCTTCATATACATTCTGCCATAAACTACTCTGATGAATATTTATCTATGATTCTGCATAACGTACAAAACGCTGGTTTTGATCCGTCTAACTAGCGAATGTTACGATTCATTCGAACAATTGAGACCATGCATCCAAAGACTGGCGCGCGGAACCGGTGCACGCGGCCGCGACACGCACCTAACTTACGACACTTTCTGTTTCTCTTTTGTTATTTTAGGGCGTTTCGGTGTCCCTGACCATTGCATGCCCAACTTACGACAGGACGAGGGGCCGCATCTAGCCGGCGGACCCCGGCGGAGGGAGCCGGTATTTACATTCGTCGCCCGACATACTCTGTACTCACGGCAGGACGAGTGCGGCCGTATCGGCCCGGCGGAACCGCTGCTCGGCGTACTCGGAGTCGTGCATGTTGGGATACGTCCGCAGCTTGTTCTCCATCACGCCGGGACACGGCGCCAGCACTGTCGGAAGAGAGGACAGGGTCACAGGTCAGGATCACATGGGTAGAGATGTCAATCGGATACCAACTTTTTGGTATACCGATACCAAACCGATACCAACTTGGTATTTGGTATTTCAATCCTAATGTAATCGGTATTTTGTTGGTATCACGAGCTCTCACTAATGTATAAGAGGCTAAAAAAATGGTAAAAAGTTGGTATTTTCATCATGATCCCAAATTGGTTTGGTTTCGGTATTTCCCCACGGTTTTGGTTGGTATTTGGTTGGGTATCGGTATTCCGATTTTCCGTAATTGATATCACTAGTCATAGGTCACCTCATAGCACTGCAGGTAGAGAGGACAGGGTCACAGGTCAGGGCCATAGGTCATACTCATAGCACTGCAGGTAGAGAGGACAGGGTCACAGGTCAGGGTCACAGGTCATACTCATAGCACTGCCGGTAGAGAGGAGTCATGTCATGTATTACAACAATCACGAATGCCGGTTGGCCCTGGTGATGTTAAATCTGGTTCACACATCATGCACACATCAGTATCGCACATACACACAAGTATATACACACAAGTACATACCTACTCACATTACTACTGGTTTTAGATTCACTGGCGGATCCAGGGGGGGGGCATTTAGGGCCATGGCCCCCCCCAAAGGCCTAAAGTGGCCTGTTTGGCCCCCCCCAAAACGTCAGAAAAATTGCTAAGAAAATACACCTTGATGGAGGTTTTTAGCCACTTGGTGAAGAAAAGCTTTCCACAGCATAATATGGAGGCAATATGGTAGCAGTGAGGGTCAGTCAAAAGTTGCGCGAGCGGAGTTGCCACCTTCAAAAAAAGACTGGTTGGCACGTGTTTATGGCGCGGCAGCTGGTAGTTGGCGGTGTTTCGCGTGGTGTGGCATCACTGGCGGATCCAGGGGGGGGGGGGCACGGGAGCCTGAGGTGCCCCTGACAGCAGGCCCGTGGTGCCCCTGGACCCTGGCAGGCCTGTGGTGCCTCTGGCGGGCCTAGGGTGCCCCTGCTAGGCTGCTGATGCCCCTGGGACCTGACAGGACTGTGATGCCCCTGACAAGCCTAAAGTGCCCCCAACAGACCCGTGATGCCCCCGACAGGCCCAAGGTGCCCCTGCGTGATGCCGTGATGCCTGCGAGGCCGGTGGTGCCCCTGCGAGGCCGGTGGGGCCTCTGACAGGCCCATGGTGCCCCTGCGAGGCCGGTGGTGTCCCTGCTAGACCGGTGGTGCCCCTGGCAGGCCTGTGATACCCCTGCTAGGCCGCTGGTGCCCCTGGGCCCTGACAGGACTATGGTGCCCCTGACAGGCCCAAGGTGCCCCTGCAAGGCCGGTGGTGCCCCTGTAAGGCCTATGGTACCCCTGCTAGGCCTCTGGTGCCCCTGACAGACCCATGGTGCCCCTGCGAGGCCGGTGGTGCCCCTGGCAGGTCTCTGGTGTCCCTGACAGACCTGGGGTGCCCCTGACAAGCCTGCGGGGCCCCTCACAGGCCCGTGGTCCCTTGCTAGGCCTGTGGTGCCCCTGGCGGGCTGGTGGTGCCCGGTGCCCCTGCTAGGTCGGTGGTGCCCCTGACAGGCCTGTGGTGCCCCCGGGCACCAAGGGGGTCATGACTCATGTGGCCCCCCTTGGATCTGCCACTGATACGTTATGGCTTATGCAATATGCAATTGCAGGCACTTGGTATCCCTCACTTATCCCTTATTGGGGGCTCTGGCGGGCTCCTGAGGGCCCACGTCTATCTCCGGGAGCCCTAGACGGGCTCCTTTGGGTCCTTTCAGTCCACTATAGCATAAGAGGTCTCCACTCGAGTCCTATACATCTGAGGGCGTACCCTGACGTCTGAGGTACCCAACTGCAGCTCCAATGGTCTCTTACACTGGCGGATCCAGGGAGGGGGCATTGAGGGTCATGCCCCCTTCCCAGAGGCCTAAAGTGGCCCGTTTGCCCCCTCCCCCAAACGATAATGAAACATAGTTCAATCAGTGCGTGGCCCAGGAGCCGAGTTAGACAGGGGGTGTTTTACCACCTCCCGGCCCGCAAAGGGACCCAAGCACTGACTCGAAGCGGGTTAACTGGTCGACAAAAGCAATGGTAAGTGTTTGCAAAGTAATATAAAGGCATGGGTCGGGTGGGCTACCATTTATATATTTTTATTTTTAGTAAAAAAAAAATATTCATAGTGTCAGGGCTGTGACGAAAAATAAGTGGCCTAAATCCGATGAGAAAACAGGATTTGGGGGTACCCTAGGTTTGGCTCCTGCATGAGTTGGCCCCCCCCAAAACGCAAGCCTGGATCCGCCAGTGTTTAGATTGATTCATTCTGCATTACTCATGAGCAATTTCAATTACAATCACGTTTACGCCGAATTTACATGTGTTTGAACGTTTTTCCGAAAATCTTCCACAGATTCGGCTTCCATCATGCTGGGCAAAAGTTGGTTCCACTCTCTTATGGTTTTTGGGAAAAACGAGTTATGGTACTGAAGTAATCTCGACGGAAGTCTCTCTATCTTTTTAGGGTGATCACTCCGTGATATATAGCTAGGTTCACATATAATTCTACTAACATCTACTTTCATGTTGCCATGGTGTAATTTGTACAGTAAGCATAATCTCGCCTCTCTACGTCGGCTTTCTAGGGATACCCATCCTATTGTGGCCAGCATGTCAGTAACACTGCTATGCTATGCTATGAGGACAGGGTCAGGGTCATAGGTCACAGCACTGGAGGTAGAGGTAGAGAGGAAAGGGTCACAGCAGAGGCCCATAGGTCACATCACTGTCCGTAGAGGGGCACATGATATATGTCGGCTTTGCATTGTGATTTTTTTTCTGCTGACATATTAGGCTGACTCGTGAGGTGTGTGATTAAAATTTGCACCACTAAATCAGGGTGTTCTGCATTCCCTCTCTAGATATCCGTTAGTACAGATATGGGCATTGGGCAATGAAGCGTTCGCGCCGCCTGAATGCAGCCTCGGACTTATCTGCGGAAGGGAGAGGGCAATGGAGTGCAGTAAACAAACAGTTGCTGGGGTTCATGATTGCATCAAGTTCGGAACCTGTTTCAGCCATTTCTTCCTATCTCAAACCGCCCCTTCACAACGGTCAAGATCACGTCTGATGGTACCTATGTTGTTTCCTAATAACTGACTGCTGAAAGGAGTAGGCACATAAGCAGTTCAATTATCGATGACAATGAATGTCCGATGTGGTTTTCCATGCGCTACCTTCAACATGTCGATGATTTGCAATCGGCGAAACTCGATCCATTCACCCACTGGTGAACGTCGCTCAGCTGGTCTGCTGGACGCGCCTACCAAGTTTGTATACAGAGTTCTACCGACCGGTGCTCAGCACCGTCTGAATACGGAATTCGCAAGATCTTGCCCAGACGGAGTGGTGCGGCAGCGACTCTGACCCCCCCCCCCATGCCCTCCCCCAGCTCCGACATTCCGGCCGATCGGATACCGACCGCAGGCGTTCTCAGACGCCGCGCTGACGACACGGCACCGGCCGGTTACACCACGCCCGCCGGCCAATCAGCGCCCGCCCGGGGCGGTGACGTCAGCCGGCCGTCACGTGACCCGGCGGCGGCGACCTTGACCCCGAGTGCAGCCGCCACGCGCGCGGCACGTGCCACAGGGCCGGGTGGGGCCTGGGAAGGGCGCCGCTTCACGAGACGGAACGGGAGGAAATGACTGAGAAATCGTGACGCCACCGGTGACATGAGCCAGTCCTTCCCTGGCCCCGGTGTGACCAGGCAGAGGGGAGGGGCGGAGGAGAGGTGGCGCGAGGAACTACCGACGTTTATAGGGGAGGGGAGGGGCGCCTGGTCATCGTCAGAGGAGGTCCTGCTGCCAAAATATCCTGTTTTATTGGAATATCCACAAATGAGACAATCCTGTTTGTAATGACAATATGTTTGATATTAGCCGTTTTCACGACGGCCATTTGGTACACATTTGGTGCACATCGTGCAGACAGTTAAATTTGGTCAAATCAGGTTCAGTGTGTCTCTTAGTAGCTATCAGCTAGGGTTGCACTTTTTGCTTATATGCCTGCTTTGTCATATTATCAGAGTATCATCGATTAAAACACTGAAATAAATTCATAAAATAAAGATATTTGCTCTAAAAGAAATTAGGTGCAGATCAGGTGCACTCGCCGGATAGCCCGTCGTGAAAACGGCTATTATCATTACAAACAAATATGGAAGAATTGTTTTAGGGAGACGTCAGTTTTATGAACTACACGGATAATGCAAATCGAAGGTAAGGCTGCAGTGGATCCGTCAACCGTGGGTGGCTTATCACCGTTCATGGGAGATGGCTGCACCCGCTGCAGCCTGTGTGTCCCACTCGGATGCTATTGGTCACTGTTGTCCCGCCGTCCGATCTGCAGGGTCGTGTATGATGGCACGGTCTATTGATCGGTGGTATCACAGACACGACCGTGATGGGAACGATACCCACAGGCATGAGAGCGATATTACACGACAGCAACGGCACATTTATAGTTTATTGTCGGGATCGGACGTTATTTACGCACGGACGCAGTTGAACTGCTGAAAAGTGACAATAGTTGTGAGTTTTGATCGATAAGAAGAGTTACGGCTCGTTTTCCTTTAGTTCGACCCTCACTGTAAACTTTTTGCAATATTTGTAGGTAGAATCATTGTTTGCGATTTGATCGATTATCATTTTAAGGAACTTCTGTACCTTTACTGGCCGGACAACGTAGTTAACTGCACTGGTAGGGGAGAGTGGGGTAATTTGGCCGGTGGTGTAAATTGGCCGCCCCACCTGTACGAAAGCTGATAAAAGTGAATGAAATAACTTTAGTCTCTATTCATTTGTCATCGGCAGAATAAACTCGAGAACAAATGTGAAAACTTTCCCCCTCTTAGTTTTATTCAAAATTATTAAAACGTGAATTTCGTTAAAAAATGGTAACTTTTACTTCCGTTTGAAAATTTGTATAACATGTAGTATTTGGGCTGTAAGCGAATTCCAACATTAACCCTCGCCCATGTAGGGGGGGGGGTTGGTGCAACCCCCCCCCTGAGGTTTTTCGGAAATAGTGCAAAAACGGCGGCGCGCAGCCCCGCCAAATTTTGGGTACCTTATGGGGCAAACCTTGCGCATCTTTTGATAAAAAAAATTTGACCGGGTCATGTCAGGTCACGGAGTTATGACGTCACAAAGGGAACAGCCTCCGGCCGGATTTTCACAAACTGAGTGCCAACGCCCGAGGTTTCCTGCCGGTGGTACGGACATCGGTTGATGGATCGTGATGAAACTTCCCATGCATGTTGGGGCAAGTATTGGCTATCATATGGTATAAGAAACTTGACCGGGTCAGGTCAGGTCACGGAGCTATGACGTCACAAGAGGAACAGCGTCCGGTACTATTTTTGAAAAGCGCCCGAACCACTATTTTGCTAATTCTTGTCACCTCAATGGGAATATGCAGCAATATTAGCTTCTATAGGGAGCAAATGGACCTTCCAAATCCAAAAATACAATCAGATTTCAAAAATTGAAATTTTGATTTTTCGAATTTCTGCCGCCGACTGTGACCTTGCCGACTTCCGGCGCTCCCAACGCGCCATTTTTAGAGCTAGGGAAACGAAATACATACCAAACGATAGAGAATTGATCAAGGAACACGATAGTGAAGGTTCAAAGTCGATATCTCCCACCGTTTTGCCGCAATCGCCGCGGAAAGTTGAAAAAAGTCTATTTTTCCGAAAATTTGACCTTTGACCGGTCAAAAGTAGGTCAAATGTTGACCTAGGACCAAAAAATATACCACCAATCGCGAGATCTCGGCGAGAGCAATCCGTTGGTCTTTTCCGCTAAGCTCTACGACGCTCCGTTTTCAAACGCCAAGGGGGGGGGGTCGCACCAACCCCCCCCCCCCCCTGCATGGGCGAAGGTGGCAGATCGCCGTTTACGGGCGAGGGTTAAAGCGCCATTCTTGAGGGTGTTCAGCGGTTCCAAGAGCAATTTCATCTAGTTCTGTACAGCCATGACGACTTTATAGACAACAATTTTCAGAATGGCGATGTGGGGTTATTTGGCCGGGACTAGCGGGGCAACTTGGCCGGTGCGCTCAGAGTCACTATGCTGGGACGGCCGAGTTGTCACGGTCGATTATACCATAAAGGACATAATTCATGACCAACTTTGACTACCTTGATGCCATATTTCCTATTGGACAGCTGTAGGGGCATGTGACGTCATCAACGGTTACCTAACGTTTTTTTGCTAATAAATACTTACAGAAAAAAAGATACAGCCGCGCAAATGGCCTCATTGTGTTCAGCTCGTCAAGGCGCATCGAATGATATACATGATGACCTTGAACTCACGTAACCTTGAGGTCAAGCGACCTGAGGTAGCGTGACCTGAAGCCAATCTTTGACATTGACCTCTCGAGGTCAACACATACATGTTTCGATGCGGAATGACGAGAGAATTACGATGGTACTTTTAGTTTTGTCCTAGCTTGATTACTTCAAAAGCTATTCGTAAAAAACTGTCATCGCATCTAGAGCTGCTATTTTGACTATTTTCGACCCCTGTGACGGCTGAGTCAACCTCCAAAATGCTTCAAATGCGTCGTAGGACACGCGTCATTGCTGAATGTGAAGCTGACTCGCCCATAACAAAAATCATGGCCTCAGACTAACACCGGCCAAATTGCCCCACACCCCCGGCCAAATAACCCTGCTCTGCTAGTGGGGCAATTTGGCCGCTTTGCAGACCTTTGTAATCCGTCACAATTTCAATATAAGTATGTCACCCTATCATTTTAAGTTTACTGTCCAGGAAAGTAAAATGTATGCCACACTTGTCAGTGTTGAGAAAATGCAGAAAGGTGTTGTCGATTTTAACCCTCGCCCTGGCAGGGCATTTTTCATAACACGGCCTGGCAGGGGGGGGGGGTCGATGCGACCCCCCCCCCCCTCGCGATTGGCTCATGGCACCTAGAAACACCAAATTTGGTAGGTAGGTGGGCCCCCTGGAGTTCTCGCCCCTGTGCAAATTTGGTTGCTCTAGGTCAATATTTAGGGGGGTTTTGGGGGGTATAAATGTAAAAATTTCGCTAAAAACAGGTCAAAAGTTTTTCGCTTATAACTTTTGATCTAATTAAGATAGAGCAAAACGAAAAGCACCAGTGAACTCAGCACGTCAAGGCGCGTCGAATGATGTACCTTTTAGCTTGCTTAAGTGTACTTAAAGTTTTTCTTAAATTTTAAGTAAACTTAAATTAATAAATTAAGTTCAAGTTAACCAAATCGCATCATATCGCATATCATTCGATTCGGCTGATCACCAGGAACACAATGATACCATTTTTTAAGCTCTAGCGTCATTATGTGCCAAGTTATTGGCAAAAACGTCATTTGACCTCAGTTGACCTCATTTGACCTGACCCATGGATAAGTACACCAAACAAAGAAGCACCAAGTGACCTGCTGTTAAGTTCTGTGGTTTCAAAGCACAAAAGTGATAGAACGAAGCGGATATCTCCAGTATTTTCCGAATTTAGTATTTTCCCATAGGCTTAACATAACGACGTAATGACCTCTAACTGACCTCAGGTCAGTGACCTCAAAAAACCCGAACTATATGTTATACAACTCGGTGAACTTAGCACATCCTGAAATTTTGAAGGAAATCAGTCCAAAACTGTGAGTTGGACAGGTGCAAAAAGAAAATTGAAATTTGACCATGACCTTGTACCGGTTTTTCTGACCTGGTGATCTGACCCGAGGTCACCCGGACCTGAAATTTTCAGGTCACATGTAAAAAGGTTGCCCCATAGGCTGTGCCAAATTTGACGGCGCTGCGCGCCGCCGTTTTTACGCTATCTTCGAAAAACCTTAGGGGGGGGTCGCATCGACCCCCCCCTGCCAGGGCGAGGGTTAAGTTACATCGTTTTCTAAAAAAAAGCGGCCAAATTACCCCACTCTCCCCTACTAATATATTACCTAAATAATTTAGTAGAACATATAAGTGTTATCGTTAAGTACGGGAACACCAACCATAGGCGGCGGAACGGGGAGGGCACCGGGGCACCGTACCCCCCTTTGATTTTGGCATTTTAACATTAGCCCTATGGGCGTTGCATGGAAGGAATGGGACCAAAAGTCGGCAGTGCACTGCCGACTTTTGGTCGGGGGGGAGGGGCACTGCAGTAAGGGGGCATTGCAGTGCCCCCCTTAATTGGGGATGTTCCGCCGCTACTGACACCAACATGTAAATATTTGGATGATTAAAAATAGATATAGCCGATATTTCTAATAAGATATGTTTAACACATTTACCAGCGAACCTATCGTGTTACCAATGCTGCGATGTTATTCGGTCTGTCAAGTGTCAGACTCAAAGTGTAATCAACCCGAATACCTCCGAAGTATGTACAGATCGATACATCCGCAGGCCTGATTGTTTATATCAGCAGAAAATTTGAAATAAAAGCTGGTGAGGACAGGGGCGGTTTCAGCCAATACTGTGAAAAGTTTTCCCATAATTCGTGACCTTGTATGACCTTACCTGAATCTGGTGACCTAATAACCTTGCTTTTGGCTGGGACCGGTGACCTCTGGTTGCCACCGGCATTCACTTTCCCCGAATCTACAAATATTTACATGGGCCTGATCGTGACCGGATCTGATGACCTGTGACCTGACCTTGACTGGGTCTAGTGACCTACGAAGTACGAGCCCGCTGTTGTTTGAGACGGGTGACTTGTGGTCTTCACCTCCGCTGACCTGTGAACTGCTGTGATCAGTGACCCTCTAACCCAGAAATGAGCGACACCTGCAGCGTGCCCTGGACCAGTGATCTGTCGCCGTGGACCACTGCTCATTGACCACTGACCACTGTCCACAGTGTCCACTGACCACTGTCCAGTGTCCACTGACCAATGAGCACCGACTGTTGCCTACTGAACGCTGACCACTGACTACCGACTACCGACTGTCCAGTACCCGTTGCCAACCGACTAGTGACTATAACCAACCACTGACCATTCACATTTGACCACTGCCCACTGACCGCTGATCGCTGACCACCGAATGCCCAATGACCACTCACCACTGACCGTTGGGCGCTGACCACTGGTCGCTAACTGACCACCGGTAGCCTTCTGATCACTGACCACCGCCCTGTGCTTACTGACCGTTGTCGCTGTTGCGCACCATGCCGATGGTGCCTCCGGTGTAGAGCACCAGCACGCGGTGCTCGTTGCCCTCGTCATCCTCAGCCAGGTCCTGCAGGTCGACACCGCCGTCAGTGCGGCGCGGCAGCTTGTTCACGTACGAGTCGTCCACCCACTGGTGATGGTCCTCCTCGACCTCAAACTCGAGCGCCGCCGGCGAGCACATGGCCATGACTCGCGCACACCGCCGCCAGACGTCGACTGGAGCCCGTCGCCCGCGCCGCCGCCGCCGCCGACCGGGGACCGGGATGGGGAGGGGCTCAGAGCACCCCGCCGTCGGTGAACCTTCTCGGCGCCGCGTCGCGATCGATACTGAGCTCCGCTGCGCGCCGGAGCCGACGACCCCGAAGGTCGCGGCCGGAGGGCTGGACGCGTGCCGGTCGGGACAGTCACGTGTCACCATCCGCCATGCATTTCTGTCAAAGTGTTCGTCGGGCTTGGCCGTGTGATTCCAGGTGGTCATGATTCATAAAGCAGCCAGAACAGACCGTGTTCTGAAGGTCCTAGTAGTCGTCATGATTGCCACCAGTAACAGACAGACGCTCGCCAGATTTGAACAAAGCGTGTTATGTAGAAATAAGTTCAAGTATGGTAGTTTTAACAGGGACGGCTCACACAGTGAAATGAAGCCTGTGTGCCTAGATTACCAAATTAAATTTTATTTTCCGGCGTAAATTTGCTTTTGAAACGTGCAAAACAAATATGTGTCCTCTCAAGTTTTTTTTTATATACAAATATAGGTGCTCTTTTAGTTTGCCATATAGCTGAAGCTCGCCAAGCATGTTGCGGGTCTGGGTTACGGAAGGTCAGGGTCCAGAGTCCAGACCACACTCCACAGACCACAAGTAACGTAAGCCCGGACTGTGAAGCGATTCTTCCCGCCATGGGTGAGGGTGGGGGGGGGGGGGGGAGGGGATGGGGGCGTTTGGTTCCCCATGCTATCTCTATTGGGTTTGGGATAGGTCAATCTTGCGACCTCTTCATTTTAAACCTGCATGCACAACTAACCTATGCAGCGCAGGCATATAACATGAGTGGCGGACATAACAAAAAAATATGGCTCTTAACCGTCGCCGGCACAGGGGGGGGGGGTTGATGCAACCCCCCCCCCTAAGGTTTTTCGCGAATAACTCGCGTAAAAAGCGGCCGATCGCAACGAAACTTTCAGTACCCTCGCATTGATCAATTTTACACCTACCCTGAAAATTTCATGACCCTGACCCCAATGACCTTTGACCTGTGACCTCTTTTCTGTGACCATGTTTGGCCGAAATCGCGGTTCGGCGCATGTCGGCTCGCATTAGCCGCGCGTTTGCAAGCTTTTCGTGGTTTCAAACGTTCAAACATATGATTTGATGTTGCTCCCATGCATTAGGGTGGGTGTCAAGGTCACCTGAAGGTCAGGTCAGGTCATTGACCTTTGGTGACCTTGGGTGACCTCGGCTCACTTTTTCGAGTTTTACAGTTTCTAGGCTAGTTTTTGGAGCTGAATTCGAATTTAGCAACCATTTGAACATTTACGAAGTAGTTTTGGTGCCTTCGTAACATGTTACGAAGCTGTCCTAGGCGGTTGACATGTATTACGAATACCCGTCACAACCCCTACCGGTTGACCTGACCTGACCTGACCCGACCTGGTCTAAATGCTTCAAGACATCATCTCTGATCAAAACTAACACGATATTCGTGATCAGCACCCCGGAAAACCACATAGCAGCCACACTTTACGACTTTCTAACAGGTCCCGATTTTCCCGGTTTTTGGGTCATTGACCTGACCTGGAAGGTCACCCGATGACCTAGGACCTTAAAATTGGGTATCATCGGCTTCCTCTCGTGACGGGCAACACGCTCGTTTTTTCCGTGAAGCTCTAGCTCGATCAGGGGCCAAACGCGAGGGGGGTCGTACCCCCCCCCCCCTTGTGCCGTCGAAGGACTCAAAATGGCCTGTGCCGGCGAGGGTTAAGGTTCGCCATTGTTGAGAGCTTTCGATTGCCATTTTTCTCGTCATTCTATATACGATCATCGGTTCGGAAGCATGGTGTGTATGACAACTGGCTGAATGAGGGACGCAGGTTAGCGACCTGCATGCAGGTCGCTGTGAACCTGAAATTTTCAGAATTTGTGCGGAAAAAATGCATGAACAGGGCCGTCGTTTTTCATATAGGAAACTACCTGCGAAAAGCCGCGGGGTTGTCGATATTTCAAACACTCCTCCAGCCCTGCACGGGTTGATGCTGATAATGTTTATTCCGCATCCCGTGGGGCGGGGGGGGGGGGGGCGAAAGGCCCCCCTGTCCTTTTCCGTAGATATCTCCCAAGCGGCTGCAGATATCGTCACCAAACTTTCAGGACTTAGGACTTACACCAAACTTTCAGACTTACATCGAATTTATATTATCGGCTCCCGGTTTTCCGCGGCGCTGATGATATCCGCTTGTATGATCATCATCCGTTGTATATGATCATCCCCCGACCCACAGCGTATATATCATATATGATCGTTTGAAACTCGGGGATGACTAGAGGTGTTTTGATCGCATGGGTTCCTTTATTACCACCGAAAAAATTTGGGTCAAATTTTCAAATAACTCGTGTCATTTTTGGCATTTACAAACACAGCCTAACCATGTCTTTAAAACTTTCAAATTCAAAACTTTGACCCGCGCCCTGGTGGGGGGGGCTATTTTTTGCCCCCCCCCTCCAGACTTTTCGATATATCTCCAGAACCGCTGCGCCGATCGTCACTAAACTTTCAGTACCCTCCGGGACATCAATTTTACACATTGTGACCAACAATTTTTCCAAAGGCTATGATAGGTTAGCCGGAAATGACGTCAGAGCGACGTCATGTTCTGCCGTTTTCGACCCAAAAAAGGGTTTCGCGGGAAGAGCTGTCAGGCCTATAGCTTTGCAAATACAGAAAAACGACAAAGACATAAAAGCTGTAGAATTGACAGGGCTACAAAACTGCTATCTCGCAGTTTTCAATTTTTTTTTTTATTTGGACCCCCAAAAATTAAAAAATAGATTTTTTGAATATAATTGCCGAAAAATCGGAAAAGTTTTTTGAATTTCGCAAAAACCGGAACATATGTGATCTGCCTTACCGCCTTCTATCCACATACCAAATTTGAGATTCATACCTCTTTTTTGGCGAAGTTATAGCGAAAAACTGTTCAAAATTGATGTCAAATTTTCAAACTCAATTTTTAGCAGTTCTAGACCCCGTAGCGCAAAACAAAGACCACCATTATGCCTGAAACAGACTCTTTCCGCAGTCAGGAAATCGGATGCGAGAGCCTATTCAAATACATGGAAGCACGCTCGCATCAATCGCACGCACCTCCCGGATGCGATTGAAGCGGGAAGAAATATAATGTATTTGAATAGGCTCTCGCATGCGATTTCCTGAACGCGGAAAGAGTCTGTTTCAGCCTTTAGACTCCCCGTGACAAGCTGCATTGAATCAATACCCATTTATGCAAAACTATCAACTTAAAAGTTTGACCTTTTTCGACCTGACCTTGACCTGACCTTCACCAGAAAGTGACCTAAGCCGTACCTGATAGTCCGATAACTAACACCATTGAGTTGGAAATGAAAAATTGGCCATAAAACATGCATCGCACAACCTTAGTACCTACGTACCTAAAGTTAGGTTCATGTGACCTGACCTGACATGTGGCCCTTGGTGACCTGACCTGTGACCTGACCTGGTATTGTCAGTGACCTCTTATAGCAACATATGTACTAGGCAACTGACGCCCTATCGCTGATTCTCGACAAAATGCGTTTTCTTCGCCCTTCGGTGTTATAGCACATTCCCTAGAAGACCCGTGAACGGTGAAACATTTCATCTTTGACCTGACCTGTGACGTCATCGGTGACCCCGAGGTCAATGAAATTTGGTTTCTTTTGACGAATTTGATAGGCCTTTCGAACGCCGTTTGAATTTTGCGGATGCGACCAGTAGTTTCGGAGATACGAGGGGGGGGGGGGCAAAAAATAGCCCCCCACCCCCACCAGGTCGCGTTATAAACAGACCCCAAATTCAGGGCGCGGGTTAAAAGCTAATCTAAGGAAGGGCAGTTTGGAAGGCACTTGGCAGTTTGGTCGTCCTGTGTATATTGTGTAATATAATTGTATAAAGTATTGTGTAATAAATAATCCATGCATGCTTTCTGGCTGGGTATCTTCTCAACGTTCGGAGCAAGGCGTATGTATGTAGTATGTATGGGTTCGGAGACGGAATCGCGGCGGGTGGGCGGTCGGGTCGGCGGTCCTCGGTCTGCGGCTGTGTGAACCGACTTACGTGGACCGGGCCACTAGCCGCACATAACACAGTGCAGTCCGACTGTCAGCTGATCAGCTGGCGCCGCCACCCGCGGTATGAGCGTCTACTGCTGCGGTCCTCGCAACTCACCCGCGTCACACTAACATCGAACACGCACGCTAACAAACGGCCGCCGCCAGGCAAGAAGAGCGGGGACGGGCAGACTCACAGGAGCGAGCGGGTAGAGAGATATATAGACACACCGATTCGGGTCGCGCTGGCCGCTGAGTGTGGCAGCTGGCAGCTGCCTCCGCACAATGGAACAAATCAAACAAAGCACATGGAACTCGGACTTAATGTTTTTACTTAAGTGCGATATGTTCTCACTTTTGTTTTGCTTACATGATCCGTGGTTTTGCTTTGTTGGCCTTGCGCATAGGCGGCGGAACGATTTGAGACAAGGGGGAGGGGGGCACCAGCTCAAGGAGCCAAACCTACATAGGGTACCCCCAAATCCTGTTTTCTCATCGGATTTAGGCCACTTATTTTTCGTCACAGCGCTGACACGATGATTTTTTTATTTCGTTTTTTTACTAAACGAACATGGCAGTTCACCCCCGTATGTGTGGTTAACTTTAAAGGGACCCTCCCACCTTCAAAAAAGTTAATGAATTGGCATGAAAGTGATGTCCCTTGGTTCAGAAAGAGCGAAAACGAATATCTACCAAATTTCACCGAAAAATATTCACTGGTTTTCAAGATAGTAGGCTTTTACTTTTGTTTACTTTTTGGGATCTCCCCTGTTACTAGCGACTTTATTTGGAAGCAATAATTTGGCCAGGGCTGCGGAGTCGATGGATTTTCGGCGACTCCGACTCCGACTCCGACTCCGGCTTTCAGAAACCAGCTCCGACTCCGACTCCGACTCCGGGCAGAATTGTCGACTCCGACCGACTCCAACTCCCGACTCCGACTCCGCAGACCTGGCAGGGCTGCGGAGTCGACAGATTTTCGGTGACTCCGACTCCGACTCCGGCTCGGGTTTCTAAAATCGACTCCGACTCCGACTCCGACTCCGGTCACAACTGTCGACTCCGACCGACTCCGACTCCGACTCCGACTCCGACTCCGCAGCCCTGAATTTGGCAGCCTTAAATTGCGGCAGACGTTGCGCGCAAAGCAGCGTATACCACCACGTGTTAACGATGGTTTTAGTTTAAGATTTAAAAATCGTTAGATCTTCGCTGACGTCACAAATTCTAAGGGGGCATTCCAATGCATTAGCCCCTTAGAATCCGAAAACTGCAAGTTTGAAATTCCATATCTTCGAATTAAAGCATTTTTCGATGTTGTGAGTGCCCAAACCGGTATTTGCAGGCCATGGCCACCAATTTGGCTATCTCAACTCAAAACTAATGTTAAGGTGGGAGTGTCCCTTTAAGTTGATCCTCAAGTATACCTATGTGTTTGTCTCTTCCTTATTGCCGGCACCGCCTGGGCTATTTCCGTCCCACGACAGCCTGGGGGGTCGGATCCGACCCCCCCTGTTATCTCGAGAACCAATGCTCGCATCGAACCCCGCGAGGCGGCGTTCGAAAGGTCTCTACAAGACCTTTCCAAAGCACTCTTAAGATTTTAAGATTGAGGTCAACTTTCGGGTCAAGGTCAGGTCAAAGGCCAAATTCTGGGGTTTTGCATGATTAGGCTTACGGACAGCGGAATCGATAGCTATTAGCTGCTGCTCGAAACTCTTTAAAAATGACCTCAAAGACCTAGTGAAGGTACCATGTGCGTATAGGGGTCATACTAAGTACGGGTCAAGGTCAGGTCAGGTCAAGAAAGGTCACGGTTTTCACTTTCTGCTACATGGGCGTGCGACACATGTTTTATGGCTTATTTTTCACAACGAATCCGATGGTAATGGTTATATGTGACCCCCAGTCACTGTGCTGGTGATAGGTAAGTGTGCATTGAAAGCATAAAAAAATCGTTTATACCTACCGGCTACCATACATAACTAAACAAGGCTAAGAAAAAAGTCAACTTTTCAACTTTTTGTTTTTGACATAAAAATACACTTTTCTAGACGAGCTTTGTCCCAGAAATCTATAGTACTGCCATTTCGTTTTTACATGCGATGTTCAGAAGTGCCTCTAATTCACGAAAATGCTTATGACGTCACCATGCCCTATGCAATTATGCATGTTGGAGCTCTTTTTTACAAGTTGGAGGTCAAAAATCAAGATGGAAAGTTGAAATTTGGGACATCTAATGTTCTAATGAGTTCTTTAACATATATTCCGTTTTTTGGCAATTCTCAAAATTTTGGATTTTATTAGCTGTTTTACAAAAAATATAGTTTTTTGAATTTTTAGGAGTAAAAAACGCATTTCATGGAAAATCCAAGATAGCCGGTTTAAAGAACTCGTTAAGCTGCGTCTATCCATGTCCTTAAAGGTAGTGTGCCACCTTTGAAAGATTTCCCATTTTATTTTTCCTAGGATAAGAAGCTTCTGTTTTTACCTAATATCGCAAAAAAATCAAAAATGGGCCTGGAATAGTGCCTTTTTCGCCTAAAAGTTTTTCGGTTTTTAGATATGTATAACAACTGTAGTGGGCTCACCTGCAAACAGGCGTCGGGCAACAATCGCGAATGCGGCGCACTTGTGACAATAAGCAAAGGTCATTATAGTGTTACGACCATACGACGTACGGGAATGAGTTATCAGCTGTCTAATCGTAGACAACACAATGTCGAGCCTTAAACTGTAAGCCCGTATTGGTATTGTTTCTTTTATTTGGCTGTCGAACATTATTTATGGTTTGAAATATGATTTTATGTAAAATAATTGATATGAAAAAGCCGTCTTATAAGTTATGACCCCATTTCACCACACGCAAGTGGCAGAAATGACAATGATCAGCTGACGCATTTTTCTTGGCCGAAGTCAGAGCGCGCGGCCCGACGCACCACGCGTATTTGGAAATTCCGACCTCGACGAGCATCAGAAGCCACCTAACAGGCGTGTTCGAAACCGCAGGAGATGATGATGAACGGGTTTATCGAAACTTGATTGGATGAGCATATCGGTAATAGCGATTTCAGTGTGTGCATTTATTGTTCATAGTGGTGTGAAATGTGGTTGGGGTACGACCGACAACCCGTCGGGGCGAATTTCGCACTGGGGTACTCAAAATTTGAAGAATTTAAGACGTTTCCATGAGTTTTGAAGGTATGGATAAGTTCTAAAAATCCGGTTCTCCTTATCTGGGCCATTAACTCCATCTGCCCCCCCCCCCCTGTCTAACTTCCGAACCGATGGTCGTAGAAGGACGGGGAAAACGGCAATCGAAAGCTCTCAACAAGGCGGATCTTAAGAGCCCATTTTTTTTGCTTAAATATGATATGTACTGGTATTTGCATCTCGAGGTGGTGGTGAGTTTGCATCTCTGACACAGGCTCGTCGGCTGACGCCGGTCATGTGGTCAGCTGGCCCCGGGCTACGCCGGGCTGGCCGGCGGCTCGGGGGCTGTCTTGGTTGGGCTGTGACCGAGAGTGGTGTTCGTCTATGGTGAAGGTGCTGGGAATACATCATACATGGCGACGAGGATGAATTAGAAGACAGGACGGCACCAGCTACCACGGTCCAAGGCAGGGAAGTAGCAAGTAACTGTTTAAGCAAGTAGCAAGTAAGTAAGCGAAATGGCACATGGCAAGCTGACAGCTTTCGAGCCAGCTGAGGAAACGTTTGAAAATTACTTACAGCGTTTCCAGTTTTATTGCTCAGCCAATGATGTACGAGCCGAGTCCAAGCAAAAGGCTTTGTTTTTAACGGTTGTGGGACAGGCAGTGTTTGGGAAGATCAAAGATTTGATTAGTCCGGTCACATTGGAGGAAGCTACCTTTGAGCTTATCAAAGAGAAGGTCAAAAATCATTATCAGCCACAGCTGGTAGAGATCGCAGAACGCTACAAGTTTTTCCAACGCAGACAGCGTGAAGAGGAAACAGTTGCAGAATACCTGGCTGATTTGAAAAAGATTGCCAGTAACGCTCAGTTTGGGGACTATTTAGACACGGCTCTAAGAGATCAGTTAGTGTGTGGCTTGTATGATAGTCGTTGTCAGAAGGAGCTGCTCTGCATGACGTCCTTGACTCTCGAAAAGGCTGTTCAACATGCCCGGGCATTTGAAGCTGTGTCAAAGGAGGTCGGGGTATTTTCAGCGTCCGGGGTACATGAGATCCAGAAAGACAGACTGAAGGGGCCGGGGTTGAGCTGTTTCCGATGTGGTAGAGTGGGACATGATGCCGATGCCTGTTGGCATGTGAAAACTGTCTGCAACAAATGTCACAGAAGAGGTCATTTGGCCGTTGTATGTCCGAAACAGTCGAAAAACAGAGAAAATGGAAACTGGCAGTTTGCCAAGCGTGCTGATCGTAGAACAGGATTTCACAGGACGGCAGGAGAGAGAAAGTCCAGCAGTCACGCGGTAGAGGAGGTGCAGGAGACTGAGGGGCGACGACATCCGGAGCAGCAACCGCAGTCACCATCGGACTCGTCAGGTACCGAGGAGTTCGAAGTGCTGCACACGCACAAGGTTCGACGAGGTAAGCTGCTCACTTCTGTTCTTGTAAATGGGAAACCGGTGACTATGGAGCTAGATACCGGAGCAGAGATCACCACTCTGCCGCTACATGTGTTTGAAAAGGTGTTTCCCGACACTCACTTAGAGCCCACTCACAAGAGGCTCAGTCAGTATGACGGATCACCGCTTAAAATGATTGGTGAAATGCCAGTTACCGTGGAGTACAAGGGCCAAACGATGACAGACAGCATGTTGGTTGTAGATGTCAAAAGTCGCTATCCTCTACTGGGTAGAGATTGGATGTTCAAGGTACGGTTTGACTGGAACGAGATATTTTATGGAAGGGTCGAGGAAGAGAAAACCATGCATGCGTTACATGAAGTGTCTGTATCTGCGTTCCAGAGGAAGTACCCAGAGCTCTTTTCGGAGGGGCTTGGGGAGGTCGCAGGAGCACAGGCGCAGGTGGAACTGGAAACCGGGGCGCAGCCACGGTTTTTCAAGAGCCGACCTGTTCCGTTCGCTCTGCGGGACAAGGTGAACAAGGAACTGGAACGCCAGATCAAAGAAGGTGAGCTGTTGCCTGTGGAACGGAGCGACTGGGCAGCACCTTTGGTGTTGGTCAGAAAACCTGGGGGTAACGTACGAATCTGTGCAGATTACAAGGTGACTGTAAATCAGTGTGTAAAAGAGCAAGCTTATCGGCTCCCCACGGCAGAAGAGATATTCAGTACATTAGCTCATGGAGAGTCTTTCTCAAAATTAGATTTAGCCAACGCTTATAAACAGTTGCCACTAGCCCCAGAAAGCCAGGCTGTGTTGACCATGAATACGCCATTGGGGCTGATGAGGCCCACCAGACTTCCGTTTGGGCTCAAGATATCTCCCAACCTGTGGCAGAGGACGATGGATGAGGTGCTGAAAGGGCTGAATGGTGTGGCATGCTACTTGGATGACATTTTAGTCACAGGAAGGACCAGAGAGGAACACCAGGTGAACCTGGACGCGGTCATGCAGAGGCTTCAGGAGCGCGGGCTGCGTCTGCGGAATTAGAAGTGTGAACTCTTCAGAAAGACGATCATCTACTTGGGACATGAAATATCTCAGGACGGCCTTCGCCCAACAGATGAAAGGGTGAGAAGCATTGTGTCTATGCCCGTGCCACAGAATGTCAAGGAACTGCTGACGTTCTTAGGACTCATGACGTACAATGCCAAATTCATGCCAAATTTGTCATCAGTACTGAGACCCTTGTACGATCTGACAAAGAAGGGAGCCAAGTGGGTTTGGACACAAGAATGCCAAAACAGTTTTTCTCAAGCTAAGGCTGGTTTGTCCGGGGCCGGGGCGCTGGCCCACTATGATGTTGACAGGCCGCTGAAAATGTACTGTGATGCGTCCTCATCTGGGGTGGGAGCGTGTCTCGTGCATCAGTTTCCAGACGGCGTCGAACGGCCAGTAGCATATGCATCACGCACGCTCTCTGAAGCGGAACAGAAGTATGCGCAAATTGAGAGAGAGGGATTGGGCATCATCTTTGGTGTGAAGCGTTTTCATCAGTACATTTGTGGCCGTCACTTCACACTGGTGACGGATCACCGTCCGTTGTGTCGCATTTTCAGTCCGTCAGCTGAGACGTCAAGCGTGGCAGCAGCGAGACTCCAGAGATGGGCTTTGATTCTCAGTATGTACGATTACGAAATTGAGTTTGTGTCTGGTTTACAGAATGTGCCGGCAGATGTCCTCAGCCGTCTTCCGAGCCGAACAGAATCGGATGATGAAACCTGGCAGGTGTGCAGCGCAGAAGAGGAAGAGCTGATCTGCGCGACCATCGAGGACGACATCTTGCCGGTGACTGCTGATCAGGTCGCCAGGCAGACGGCCAGGGACCCCGTCCTCGGTCCAGTGCTGAGCTGGGTCCGGTCCGGGGCATGGCCGAAGAAGACGGAGGCCAAGTTTCAGCCATACATCAGATGCAGAGACGGTTTGACAGTCGTTGACGGATGTCTTCAGGTGGGTGAAAAAGTAGTCATACCCAGCCGATTCAGACGTCAGCTGCTAGAGGAGTTACATGAGGGACACCTGGGGGTGTGTAAAATGAAGTCATTAGCTCGAGGTTTTGTGTGGTGGCCGCATCTGGATGACGAGATAGAGCAGTTGTGCCAACAGTGTGGTCCGTGCCGAACTAACGCTCAGAGACCGGCCACCTCCGCTGTGCACCCATGGGTGTATCCCTCGGCACCGTGGGAAAGAGTGCATATTGATTTCGCGTCCCATCAAGGTCGGGATTATCTTGTTCTCGTAGATGCGTTTTCAAAATGGCCGGAAATAGAGGAAATGCATGGCACAACAGCTACAAAAACGATAGAAGCGCTGACAAAAATATTTGCCACTCATGGTTTCCCAGTGACCCTGGTTTCGGACAATGGCCCGCCGTTCAAATCAGCAGAATTCGAGAACTTCTTGAGATCGAGAGGCATTTTCCATCGTGCCACTCCGCCTTATCACCCAGCATCAAATGGCCAGGCCGAGTCCATGGTGAGGACGTTCAAGTCGTTTTTAAAGAAACAGCAGTCGAACGGCAGGAGCCGTGCAGTAGCAGTCTGTCAGTTTTTGGCACGATACAGAGTGACGCCGTGTTCGTCCACTGGGAGGGCGCCGGCCGAGCTGTTACTGGGAAGAATGCCTCGCACAAAGTTATCTCTTCTGAAGCCCTCCGTGACCCAAAGATTGAAGGGTCCGGGAGAGTATGTGTATTCACGAGAGTTTCTTGCAGGTGATTCCGTGCTGCTGCGAGACCTGCGACCCGGCTCGGCGACTAAGTGGCGCAGAGCTACTGTTACTGGACGGGTCGGACCTCTGGTGTACGAGGTCTGCATCGACGGCCGGACCCGGACCGCTCACCTGGACCACCTGCTGGCGGACCGGACCGTGCCGGACCGCCCGGTGCCGGCCGCTGTTCCGGGACCCGAGCCGGACCGCCCGGTGCCGGCCGCTGTTCCGGGACCCGAGCCGGCCCGAACCGACTATAGATCGGGGGAGTATCTGGCGTACGACCGGTGCGCGTCTGCCGGTGGTGCATCGGTGCCGCTGCCGAGTGAGATCGAGACGCCCGGGGAGGCTCATCGGCGTCGGGAGAGTGGGGACTCCCACAGGGAGCGGTCCCAGCGCTCTTCAGAGGACTCTGGATTGTGGGGTGCGGGTGAGGCTCGTGTGCGACCGGGGAATGAGTGTCAGAGTGAACCAGTGTTAAGACGTTCCGAGCGCTTGAGGAACAAGTTTTCGTGAAGGGGGGAAAAGTGATATGTACTGGTATTTGCATCTCGAGGTGGTGGTGAGTTTGCATCTCTGACACAGGCTCGTCGGCTGACGCCGGTCATGTGGTCAGCTGGCCCCGGGCTACGCCGGGCTGGCCGGCGGCTCGGGGGCTGTCTTGGTTGGGCTGTGACCGAGAGTGGTGTTCGTCTATGGTGAAGGTGCTGGGAATACATCAAAATAGGTCATAGGTCAGGTCAAGGTCAGGTCAAGGGTACAAAATGTAAGTTTCTACAGTATCGGCCTTGCACCGTAGTTGCCGAAGAATGGACTGAGACTGATTGCCCAAAACACGTTCTTAGACTACCAAGACAATATTCGTTGCATACAATGTCATTCAAAGGTCAAGTTCAAGGTCAGGTCAGGTCAGGTCAGGTCACCAAAAACAAAATATAGAAAAGGGCATGTGCGACACATGTTTTATGGGTCATTTTACTCATATAATTCAATAGGCACACTCAATAAGTGATATGGACCACCTCTGGATGAATGTCAGGTCGAGGTCAGGTCAAGGTCAGGTCAAGTGAGGTCAAATTTTGAAGTTGGTTGTTAAGGCCTAAAAAGGTGTCTATCGGATGCAGTTTTTCACGGCGAATCGAATGGTGCTATTTTTTGTTTCCGTACGAGGTCTAGAACTTCCAAAAAAATCATTTTTCAAAATTTTTGTGTGTCGTGACGTCATAAATTTTTTAATAACTCCCACATTTTTGAACCGATTCGTTTAAAAATTGGTATGTAGGTGCACATAGACCAGTTCTCTGACATATATTCCGGTTTCTTCGATACACTCAAAATGTTGGATTTTATAATTATTTTCCCAAAAAAGTCAGTTTTTATAAATAAATAAAATTCGGCCAAAATCCAAAATTTTCAAAAAACCGAGATAGCCATTTGATAGACAAAGTAGAATAACGTATAACCTTTTTCGTTACGTCTAGATTCCTTTAAAATTGAGGATGTTAGCGGCGTTTGAAATTTTGCCGTTTTTGAGGCGAAAATGGCGAACATGACGTCACTAAAACGTCAATTTCTCAAAAAATTTCCGACGGATTTCGCTCAAATTTTCAGGGAACGTGTCAAATTGATGTATGATAAAGTGCTGAAAGTTTGACGTCGCTGGCGTAACGCGTTTAGAAGTCATTGGCGAAAAACGGGAGGGGGGCAGATTCTGCCCCCCCCCCCCCAGCGGGGCGCGGTTGCAATTTGCTTGAAACCTTGATTTTTGGCGATTTTTTAAACATTTACCACTTTTTGACTGAAAACGCCATGTAGTTACATTACTAAAATCGATATATCTAAAAAAAGGAAAATGTTTCTTAAAAATTACCCAGGAGACGTCAAATTGATGGGGGAGAAGGTATGCCAATTGTTTAAAGTTGATAGCGTAAGCGGTTCATGAGTTATTCGAGAAAAACGGAGGGGGTCGGATCCGACCCCCCCCCCCCCCAGGCGGTCGCGGGTTATACTTCATGATATTAGTTTATTTATGCGTTTCTTCGGAACAGTGCCGCGTTCACTTCAGATTCGGGAAGGACAAGTTGCGGAGCTTGTTCTTGGAAGGTACCGCTGTCGCTGAAGTCTGGGGGTTCTCTGTCGCCGTTCGTCTTGCAACACGGCACAGACGGGTAATGCCGGCATGCCATTACGACTGTAACGCTATTTGTTTACTTTTTTTGCTGTAAATTTAACGCCTATTTTGAACCTGTGTCACTAATGCATTACTGACACACTAGAAGCTGACGCAATGTGTTACTGTGTTTTTAAGCAACGATCGTCGAGGGATCCACCATCCTAAGTTTCAATACAGATCCGTCCATGGGCTACATCTTTTCTGACTGCGCTGACGAGTCGGGTGTCCGACGAGAGGATATGGTCAGCTGGGCGGGCCGCACGCTGCACATAGTGTCAATATTTGGACGCGTCGGTATGTAGAACGTCTTTGAAGGCGGTCCGCGCTGGCCAGTTGAGGAGAGCTCGACCGACCAACTGCACGGCAGGGTCGTCAGTCTCCGGTCGGCAGCGCCCGCAGCGGCAGGAGTGACAGAGTCGTCCGTCTGGTCGGCAGCTGAAGGCACCGATAGAAAGCAGCGTCGCCTCTGAAGTAGACTGGTGGATCGTGAAGCTGTCAGTCGGCGGCTGGACCTGACGGCTTCGACAGACGTCAGGCTCCAGTGTGGAGAGCAGCCGTTTGTGCCTGTCTAATCTATCGCCGTGCTGGAATGGCAGCTTGGCGTCATTGCACTGTGGTGCTCTGGAGTTTGATTGGTTTCTGCGCAATAATCGGCGCAGAGCAGCAGCAGCAACAGGCCGTCCTACCTAGCACCATCGCGGACCAGGTTTTGAATATCGTCACACAGGCAGTTCACAATGAAATGCGCTCAATTGTCAGCAACGTCATGTCACGAATGGAAGCACTGGAGCGTAGGCTCGTGTCTCATGTGGAGTCATTGGGCAGCAGACTGACTTTGCTTGGCTCTCGGATGGATGAGCTGGCTCCTATTTCAGTACAAGATACCCAGAGCCTGAGAACAGAGGAGCTTCCTTCCCGTTTGGACAGCCATAAAGCTCAATTGGACAATATGACTGCACAAAGAAGCGAACATGGGCTCCAGGAAGACGAGAATTCAGCGTCTGTGGGCGGCCTGATTTTACGAATCGACACGCTCGCTACCCAACTTGAGACTCAGCGGTCTCAGTTGACTGAACTCGCAACTAACCATCAAACTGAACTAGCCGACCTGAAATCGCAAATCGACAGAGCTGTGGAATGCAGTAACAGTCAGCGGAATGAGACCAGCCAGATTTCAGAGGCAGATGTGAGACCCCGTGACTGTAGCGATCTACCGAATGGCTCCACAACGGGAGTCTACCTTGTCTACCCGGACGTAGCCGATCCGTCGCAGTCGGTGCGGGCGCTCTGTGACATGGACACCGACGGGGGAGGCTGGACGGTGATCCAGCGCAGAGACGACATCACGCCCCGCGAGGACTTCTACCGGACCTGGAGACACTACAAGAGAGGCTTCGGCAACCTGACCGGCGAGTTCTGGTGGGGACTGCACCACGTTTGGCAGCTGACGTCAGTCAGAGACCGGCGGTACCTGCTGAGAGTAGACCTTCAGGCGTTCGACGGTGACCGGGCTCACGCCGTTTACCAGGACTTTAACATCTCTTCGGAATCGGACGGATACAGACTGGCCGCATCCGGCTACTCAGGAAATGCCGGCAACAGTCTGCGCAATAACATCAATCGCCAGTTCTCCACTCACGACAGGGATAATGATGGATGGCTTGGAAACAGTTGTGCTCAGAGGCACCAAGGGGCCTGGTGGTACTACGTGTGCGGTTTCAGCAACCTCAACGGGCAATATTTGGGTTCCGATGGGGGCTCGAACATGTCTGGAATCTGGTGGGGTGCGTGGAAGAAATATGAATCACTGAAAAAGACCGAATTGAAAATCAGACCATTCTAGATTATCATCCAAAAACCGTAGGTATACCATACGGATGGATCATACTGTACAAACGGATGTCCGTTTAACGTCTATATGTCTATTTGACGTGTTATTGCGACATCAGCTTGGGTAGTTCAATATTTGCTTTTTATAAGTATTAATTTGCGACAGGCATTCTTTTTAACCCGCGCCCCGTTGGGCTCTGCCGAGCAACGCGCCCCGTTGGGGGGGGGGGGCATTTTGCCCCCCCCCCCTAAGATCTCGAGAACCACGCAACCTAGCGACAAGCGGCAAACGGTGTTGGATAGCCCTATCAGGGAACTATCTTGTGACCCAATTTCATTGACCTAGGTCAAACCGATGACGTCACAGGTCAGGTCAAAGGTCCAATTTTCACCGTTTACAGGCATTTCAAGAAATGCGCTGTAAAATCGAGTAAAATGCATTTCATTGAAAATCATCGATGGGGAAATGTTCTTCAAACACATACTTTGCTAGTTGAGGTCACTGATACCAGGTCAGGTCACAGAGGTCAGGTCACTGGGGGGGTCACAATATGAAAGTGTCGTGTGATACATGTTTTATGGTCCATTTTACATGACAAATGCGATTATGTGGGTCAGGCAGCCTTTGGGACCAGCTTAGGTCACGTTTTGGTCAAGGTCAGGTCAAGGTCAGGTCAAGGTCAGGTCAAATTAGGTCAAATTTCAAAGTTGACATTTTTGCATACAATGGGTATCGAATCGATGCAGCTCGTCACGGGGAGTTCAATGGTGGTCTTTGTTTTGCCGTACGAGGTCTAGAATCGCTAAAAATTGAGTTCAAAAATTTGACGTCATCATTTTTGAACAGTTTTTTCGCTATAACTTGGCCAAAAAACGAGATATCGATCTGTAATTTGGTATGTACATAGAAGAGCGCAGGGACTATCACATATATTCCGGGTTTTTTTCGAAATTCGGAAAAATTTTGGATTTTTTTTAGTTAAAAAAATCAATTTTTTGAATTTTTTTTGGGTCAAAAACCCAAAATTTTGAAAATCCGAGATAGCAGTTTTGTAGCGCCGCTTTTTGTCTACTAGACCATATAAAGAACTTTGAAATTGCTTGATAACTGTAGATTTGGTGAGCGTTTCAAGATTGCATGTTTTTTGCTCATTTTTGCTCGAACATGACCTCAGTTTGACCTCAATAACTCCTGACCTAAGGTGACCTAAGACTTGAAATTTGGTGTGAAGGTGTCAAATTGATGCCCGGTAAGGTACTGAAAATTTGGCGGCGCTGCGCGCCGCCGTTTTCTTGCTATTCAGGAAAAACCACAGGGGGGGGGGCCAAAATGGCCCCCCCCCCAACGGGGCGAGGGTTAATGTTACCGCATGGCATTAACATGAATTCTGGTCTCTGCTTAGAAGCAATTCTCATAGCTTGTGTTACCTAACTGTTTGGTGACATGTGTTGGTTACCTCGGTTTTGAGTGTGTTAATTCGTCTACTTTAATACATCTAGCCCTATACAAGCTCTAGCATTCCTAACCGATGGCGCATTTAGTGTTAGTGTTAGGAAGGGCACCAGAAATAAGCAATGCATAAAGTTTACTATTGTCTATGCATAAGCCATGATGTACTATCCAACCACAGGCAGAGTGCCTAATGCCTATTGACATGCATGCATCAAACGACAACAGTAGAAGAGTAATTGGCTTCGAGTTTATTTTGTGCTTGCCTTGATACCACTGATGACATCACAGCTCAGGCAAAAATATCATTATTATCTCAGAGGCCGCCCTAGTCGCACTCAGACTATCGCGGGACCTCAGAGAACAGCTCATGGACCCTTGAAGCCTGCGGTTGACACTGGAATCCGTCATCAGAGCCCTAAAACATTAGTGAGGGCTCTCAAATACCGTCGTAAGAGATACCTATCATAGCTCGTCGTGAGGGCCCCCACAGGCCGTTGTGTGGCCATGTGACTGTGAGGTCAGCATGGCCTCCGAAGCCCGCGTGGTGGCCATCAGAAGTCGTCGTAACTGTGAGGGCCCTCAGAGAAAATCTTAGAACACTAGAGGCCAATGGGGTACCCCATGGGAGCCGCCACCCCGCGGGGGCCATCTGAGGTTGTTGTAAGGGTCACCAAAGGCCTTTGGTGATCCTCCGAGACAGCAGTGGGGGCCACTGGGGTAGCCCTGGCCTCCGAGCTAGCATGGCTTTCAACCCGGTGCAAGGCCATGGAAGACAGCGTAGTGTCCCAGAGACCGGTGTGGGTCGCATCTTCAGAGTTCAGAGATGGTCCAACATCGATTTTTGTTTCTCGATATCTTTTTTTCAATGTACATATTCCATGGATTAGAGCCTATTCCATTCTTTCACGAGACCCTTGGAGCACAGCGTAGGCTATAATTTAGGGCTGCAATCAGACATTTTTGCATTCCCATGTCATTTGCATGGAGTTTGGGCGTGAACTCAAGACGGAAGACATGCACCATCTCTTCCGTCGCCACTGATTACTTGGCACACACGTTTTGAACCGTTCCCGAGAGGATAAGGTACTATAAGATAAGGAGCGATAAGGGAGCCCAAAGGAGCCCACCCCTAGCCGGGTGCAGTGAGTAGGTTGGTAGGGCGGGGGGGGGGGGGGGCTGGCCGGCCTGTCCTGACGGACGGGCTAACCCCCGGCTACTCACTAGGGTGCCCATGGTCTCACTGGACCGAAAGGGCCTAACCCAACAGGCAACAAAACAAAACAAAACAAAACAAAACAAAACAAAACAAAACAAAACAAAACAAAACAAAACAAAACAAAACAAAACAAAACAAAACAAAACAAAACAAAACAAAACAAAACAAAACAAACAAAACAAAACAAAACAAAACAAAACAAAACAAAACAAAACAAAACAAAACAAAACAAAACAAAACAAAACAAAACAAAACAAAACAAAACAAAACAAAACAAAACAAAACAAACGATGACCCTCCCCAGTTGCCTTCGTCGGCTGGCGTCGGCCGCGTTAGCGCGGCGCGTGCGGTGATTGGGCGCGCTGCCTCTGGCACAGTCGGCTGACGGCAGCGCCGGCACCGCTGGCTCCGCGAACTAACTTCAAGGCCACCACATTGCGTCACCATCAGCAGTGTGTCAGCGGCGCCGGGCAGGTGGGGCCACGCTTGAAGCAGCCTCTTCGGGAGCGGTAGGATCGGTGATACCGAACGTCTGTCGCACTCCCCGCTCGTTCGTCAGTGGTCTAATCCAGCCCTAGCCTCCTTTAGTTCGTCCGTTCACTGATGTGACATTCCCGTCTCACCAGTACAACGTTATGGGCCACCAGTGAGCGACTGCAGTTCAGCGAGTGGTCAGTGACATCATGGCCGCTGTGGGTGCCGACAAACCAGCCGAGAGTGATTTAGGTGCCACTGCTTGTGAGAACACGTGGGTGTTCTCACGTGGGTGCAACGACGGTGCAGCAGCGTCTTCCGCGAGCGGAGGCACTGGAAGTAAGCGCACCGCTGATGCCGATGACCTCACTACAGACCTGACCGAGAAGTCGGCTCCGCTGCCCATGCAGGACGTGGCCGGTGCGCCGAGACACGGCCGGGTCGCCGGGATGGCGTGTTTGGACGGCCTGCCGCCGGAGTTGCTGCAGGAGGTGCTCTCCCGGCTGGACTACATCTCCATGCTCCAGCTGGAGAAGGTGTCTGCCCGCTACCGGGACGCCGTGGCGCTGCACTTAGGCCGACGGCGCTCCTTCAAACTCGACTGGTCCGAGTGGAAGCGCGTCTGCCCCAGTCCCGAGTGCCGGCCGGGCCTGCTGTCGCGGATAACTGCGCGACTGTCGCGGAAGTCAGAAGCAGTGACGCCTCTGACAGACCTCCTGTCGCGGATGTCTGGGCTGCGTGAACTCGATGTAGATGTGGACGTGCGGCCGGAGCGAGGGTGCCCTCAGGAGCTGAGACGAGCTCTAGTGGATGGTTCAGGCCGCTGGTCGCTGCTGGAGAAGCTGCAGCTGAGATGGATGTGCTCCTCCGAACCCGATGAGTCTCTCTTGAGAAGACTCTGCGCCAACTGTCCCCGGCTGAGCGACGTCACGCTCAGAGGCGACATCGGCGACGCCAGCCTCAAAGTGCTGGTGTCTGCACTGCCTGGTCTTCGAGCACTTCATGTTTCTGCTGGAGGAGATGTCGGTGCGTTCTTTTCACATCTCCCAACAGAGCTAAACGCCCTGACAGTGTCCTGCCGGGCCTTTCGCAAGGGAACGTTGGCTAAACTGTCGCGATGTGTAGGGCTGCAAAGTTTGGCTCTGGATGCGTGGCAAATATGGTACGAGGTGCCAATGGATGACATGGAGGTCGTGCTAACCAGTCTTGCCCGGCTGGAGCGACTGAGCCTGCAAAACCAGCGCGGATCACTTCTCGCCTGCCTGCCATCCAGTGGCCTGCCGACGCTGCGCCACCTCATTCTAACCTATCCGTACGTCACTGACGCCGAGCTCGGCCGGCTGGTGGAGCAGCTCCCGGGCCTGGAGTCGCTCGCTCTACGGTGGGGCCAAGGCCCAACGTCACGTGGCCTGGCGCAGCTCGGCCGGCTGTCATCGCTCCGCTCCCTCAATCTGGGAGGCACGGACGGCATCACTGACGACCTGCTGAAACAGCTGAGCGCCGCACCGCTGGTCGAGCTGGAGCTGCCGGTCCTTCCCCTGAAGGTCGGGGACTCGGCGCCGAGGCGATCGACCCCTACCACCTACACTCTGGAGGGCGTGATGGAGCTCCGCCGCAGGTGCAGCTCGCTTAGAACGCTGATCCTCTGTGAGAGATCAGTAGCGAGATGGGGCTTGTGGTCTGGTGTAGAGCGTATTGACTGTGGACCAGACGTGACGGAACACGACGTTATAGAAGCAATCCGGAGCTTCGTGGACCATATGGCCGTCTATTTCCCTAAAGACGAAAAAAAAGGAAGAGGATGAAGAAGTGGATGAACGAGTGAATGTATGACCGGAAGTCCAATGAAGAGGAGCGACCCACACCAAGTGTTCTTTTGTGCGATCTGATAACCAGCGTAACTTTTAACCAGTGTAGCTTTTGGGGGCTACAAGCGGAACGAGCGAGAGAATGGGCCTGGCACGTCCGATATTGGGAGGAAGTACTTCCAACTGACTTTTGCATGACACTCCTAACCGCTCTATAGCGATGTGCCAAATTTTAGCGCAATCAGCCCAGCCGTTTTTGAGATCTGGAAGCAGCTATCTGCACAAGCGAACGTGCATGCTGGGTCCCAGCTGACTTTTGCCCGGCACTCAAGTAACCGGTCTCTAACCGTGTCCCAAATTTGCCGCGCAAACGGTCCAGCCGATCTCGAGGTCTTGAATCGACCCGCTGCTTGCACGCAGGGCTTGCACGTGCGTACGTGCAGCAGTACCCCAACTGTGGCACATGGAAATTATTGGCGGCTGAACACTTTCAATGAAGGGGGGACTGTCGACTTATGGTCCCATTCTTTGCATGCAACGCGCTAATGTTAAAATGCCAAAATCAAAGGGGGCACGGTGCCCCAGTGCCCCCGTCCCGCCGCCTATGATGGAAATGTATTGCAATTGGGTGCTTACCTATACGCCAAGCTTCCGCTCAATCGGTCCAGGAACTACCGAGATAATGCGATTGTTACAAAAGTCATGAAACCTCTCCGTTTTGCACGTGGCACGGGATAAGGGGTCACCCAAATGTATCGAAAATATTCCAATCCTTGGTAGAATGAATCAAGCTATCATACAAAAATACCGCATGTAAATCGGTCGATTTGGTTGCTGAGACATAAGCCTCGCAGAACCGTGTCTACGGCCGGTTGCTCCTACCTTCTCTGAAATTTCCGTTAAACAAAAGATTTCGCTCGCTCCGTATGTGTTCCATCTTCAGTCATCATTGTTCACGCTCAAATGTCCACATGTTCTTTAAAAACATTACTGTCGGGCTCAGGGACATCAGTGTAGCTGTTGCCACGCATATACATTATACATATACGAAAAGTTATGTTCCTTAGCCAAATGTCCACATGTTCCTTAAAAACATTACTGTCGGGCTCAGGGACATCAGTGTAGCTGCTGCCACGTATATACATTATACATATACGAAAAGTTATGTTCCTATGTTCCTTAACGAGTTTGGAAAAGATGACTGATGTCATCACTGTCAACCGTGGAAGCCGTATGGCTACCCATCTACGCTGGAGTACGAAAAACATCATCTCACGCTCTCAGTCCCAGCGGATAAAAACAACACCTAAGAATGTTCCTTAGCCTGTCATCTCCCGATGATGCACTCGCCACTCACACTCATTTTTTGTGTTTGGTGGTTCAGCCAACAATGAACAAAACGACAGCTGGTTCTAGAGTCGTTGCTGAACTGGCAGCTATCATTTCTCCAAGAGCTTCGTTTCTTTATCTCAACTAACAAGGCTATCACAATTGAAGTCGAGGCCAAGATGTCCATGCCAGTGCGGCTATTGACGTGTCTGTTACCGGCGCCATGCTGTGCTT